CCACAACCCAAATGGTAAGTGAGTGAGTGATAGAGTGAGTGATAGAGTGAGTGAGTGAGTGAGTTTGGATTTAACATGGCTTTCAACAGTATTCCAGTTATATCATGGTGTGTCAACTTAATGTGGGAGGAAAGCCTGAAGTGATGCAGGTCTCAGACGTTTACCACTTTGGTGAAACCCACGAGCACAGGTATGGTGCTGACAAACCTTGAAACATAATCAGGGCGAACCGGGAATCGAACCCACAATCATAGGTTTCTAGCGTGCCCAGGGGATGCAACTCTGCACAGCAAATCGCGGGGCCTAAGACGAATGGGCCACCCATGCCCCCCACCTAAATGTGCGCCCTGGAGATATGGAGGATGCAGGTACACAGATATGCAATATTTTATGAGCGCTTCTATTAATTTGCCACAAACAAGCGTGAATGTGCCTACAAAATACAGTGGTTATGCCTGCAAAATTCGTGCTTTAACAACTAACAGTAAAATTATTGGCAAGTTTGAGAGAAGCAGGGGATGATCGCGTAAAACATGTTATTTTTAGACAACCAGGTGAGGATATCAATGTTAAAATAGTGAACCATTTGTGTTTTTTCCTAACAAACTGTACAACATTAAAATAGGATATCTATATAGTAGAGACAATAAACATTTGGGAAGGGTTGTGGATAATAGGAACCTCAACACAGCACTAGTCAAATTTATGCAATGTCCATATTCAACTGTTAAATCAAAACTTACTAATCAAGGAGTTTATCTCCATTATAAAAAGGATTAGAATTAGTCTTCAGTAACCCATGCTTGTGGTAAGGGCGTTGTCATTACTATTGATTGATAATTGATTTCCCTGGATATGCCAGAGCTGTAAAATGGGTAAAACAGTCAGGGTATTGCTTCCCTCCATCACCAGCTGATCATGACTCTTGGCTAAATATTATTAAAGACACTGACCACGTCTTGGTGAGTGCATGACCTGGGCTTGGCAGGCATTTTGTAACAACATTTACATGAGGACACTAAGATACAGAGACCAGCTAACTAACACCAGCTACCATCGTCTATTGGAGCATGTGACAGGTGTGATCGGGAGAAGGTTCCTATCCCGTAAACAGATTCCACCTACAAAACAGCAGTTAATTTACATAAATTAATTTGATGTCGCTTCAGCAGTAAAGAGATTACAATTAAGGGACCAGTTCAAAAGTTTGATGTCAGTAAAAAGACTTTGAGACATAATCCCTAGCCCCCCTCCCCTCAGCTTCATTCTGAAAACGCTCATTTTCTGAGTTGAGTGGCTTCACTTGTCAAGCATTCTCATGTTTTGCCCTGTTTTTACAGAATGTTTATGGAATGAAGTATATTTACTTGTAGAGTTTTTATAGAACAGATAAAATCTGCCATTCTATATTAGGCACTGGACTATTGCTGGTGGTCATAAAACCCTACCTTGTGGAAAGACTGGAATGATATAATGACAACGCCTAACAGCATATGAATGAAAATAGGATTGGTTTAGTTCAGTTACAATAAAACATTGAGAAATCAGGTAAGTTGATTTTGTCAGATGGAAAACTTGCAGGGCTATTAACAACCTTCCCAGAAAACATTTTGTATCCTTGGAGTGAGTGAGTGAGTATATGCTTTTACGCCGCTTTTAGCAATATTCCAGCAATATCACGGCGGGGGACACCAGAAATGGGCTTCACACATTGTACCCATGTCAGGAATCGAACCCAGGTCTTCGGCGTGACGAGCGAACGCTTTAACCACTAGGCTACCCGACCGCCCCTGTATCCTTGGAACCTTGGGACAATAGAGGGAGGGTAGATAGAGTGCCTCCAATTAAGGCCAAACACAATCCACAAAAAAAACTTTCTCGGGAGTCAGGTTGTAGAGACGTGTAGATTCAGACCACTGTAGGGGCACCAGAGGAGATTCCTCATAGTTGAAGATTTTCAGTCTCAGGTCTTGAGCTCCATGTTTGTTGTCCCCCCAAAAGTCAGAGAACAGAGACCAATTATCAGTCTGAAAAGAATTATGCACAAACTGGACCTGAGGGATCAGTACTTCAGTTTATTATATACATATATTTATTTCCACGTAATAAGCAACCAGGGCGCTCTCAAAATTAGAAATCGGGGGCTCTTATTAGAATATTATTTTGGTGGAAAAAAAACAGAGTTGCAAGATCGTAAATTTCGTGGTTTATGCTGACAGCCTGAAATGTTTACATAAGACGGATATATTTTTTCAGAATTTAACTGCCCATAATTAAGGGTGCATATAACACACGAGTGCGCATTATACACGAATAAATAAGTCTTGTGTACATTGATCAATCGGAAGAGGTGTTAATTTGGGTTGTGCACTAGCCAATATATTAGCAAATATCGCCGCGGGCGCTTCTTAGAGCGGGGCGCTTAATTACGTCGAATACGGTACTTCAGTGTGAAAGACTAAGTTTTCTGAAGTTAAGAAACGTGATATCTTCATTGCAGTGAACATAAAACTTGATATTTCACTGCAGTGAACGTAACACTATGACGGAACTATTGTCATACAAGAGTTACCTCACCTCAAATTGTCTCCCTTTATCGTAAGTATCTAGCCAGTACACATTCTGGTAAAGTCTGTTGACGTCCTTTTCACGTTAGTTCCACACTGACAAGGCAAAATAATGACAGATGATCATTTATGGAGTCAATATATTTCTTGCCGTTTGTTATTCCCTCTAAAATGTTTCTTTACAAACTGTAAATGCCTCATTCAACTCGTCAATCGAGACTGTTCCTTTCGCAAAGCGACATTTTTGTTACTTGACCAGCGTATATTCCTTCGCTTCAAACAACGGTCTCGTGGTTTTCATGAACATTTTTTTAGTTGATTTTGTATATCGAATCATATCAAAATGTATGATTAAGAATTTTCGTGACCATAAATATTTTTTGAGACTTTTGTTTATATTTTTTAAGATTTTGCGAAATCGGAACTTCTTTTTAAGTCGCAATTACAAGGGGTGGTGAAACGTTCCTGCGTGTAGGTAGGGAGAATTTACGTTTCAAAAATGTTCATTTGTAACGAAACAAAAAAAAATCCGTCAGAAAACTACACCAAAAGTATATAATAAATAGGATATGCCATATGTCGAGCGAAATATCATGTTTCTCTCATCTCGTGCGGGGGAAAAGAGATATTTTCACTCCACTCGTGAAAATATATTCTTTCCCCCGTCACTCGATGTGAGAAACATGGTATTTCACTCGACACGTGAAATATCCTCTATTTATTACCCATACGGTTAGAAATAGCCGAGTTCATAATCATCATATGTGTATTTGCGCAAATATCACTTCACGCGCACCAGTGTATTGTGTGCGTCATCCGGACGACATTGTCGACGGGATTCGAATCTTATTGTGACTAAGGTCGAAATGACGTCACACTAGAAACGACGTCACAGCTGAAGGTTATTGACACCATTCGTCAATTCTGGTTTTCCATAAGACAGCGGTCGTGATCGGTGCAATTTTCTTAGTGAGCTCAAAAGAATGGCTAATAAAAATGTGTGCCATACTGATTTCACGAAACTCGTGTTAGAATTCGTATATTATCCTCGCTCTTGCTCAGGAAATACAAGAAATCTGAAACTCGTTTCGTAACATCGGTATGGCACACATGCTCGTTTAATAATCTCTATTTATCATCCAAAACTGGCTTCCATCCACTGGAGGTATAGCTATAATGAAATTGGATCACAATGCTTTGCAGACGAGTGTGATGTCATCGTTATCATGACGTCACAATCAATTGACATCACTAATCTGAATATCTCTGCCACTGAAGCTGAACATTTTAACACTCAAGACATTATTTAAGAAATAAACGACCTGTGGGAGTTGTTTATCGTACAATAAAACACTGCAGGGAGAAAACACCATGTGGGGCGCAGTGTTTTATTGTACGATAAACAACGACTACGAGTCGTTTATTTCCTATATGAGATATCAACATTATATACAGCCGATGGTAAAATGTACAAGCTTTAACAAAAGTTACCTGTATTTAAATAATGATGTCTCCCTCAATAGAATCCGACCTCGGCAAGGTCAGACAAGTCCTTTTTTATGCACATGTGGGCATTTCCCGCATATTCTCACAATCATCACGTCGATTACCCGTACCTTTTCTCTCAATACGCGTTTATCTGCGTTGTCCTGCTACATCTATGGGGAACAACTCACTAGACGCCCCCCTCCCAAAAATAACGTCGTCCAATATATGACGTCATCAAGTTCGCCTTTTCTCCAGAAATGACGTCATGAAAGAACAATGTTTTATCGTGAAATAAACCACGCTTCGTTCTTCATTGTCCTTTGAGATTTATCGTGTAGCTAGCTATCTTATATACTGTTAACAAAACGAGTAAGTTGGAAGAAATATTTTGAATGATAAATAGAATCTCAGTCCATGTATCTTTTAATATCAATTATATGAAGATGCGTTGATAAAAGTTCAAATCTCCTCGGCAAGCTCCTGGAACACCCTCAATATTTATGTATTCTAGAAGCTGTTTTCGTGTTTCATTATGATGAAGCAGGATTTGTGGGACGTTTGACCTTGCTCGCATTCTAGTAACCTTTGTACTTGACCTATTTTTAGCACGGGCAGTTGAAGCACAGAACCAATAAAAACTATATATGAAATAATAATAATTAAAAAAAACTTGCAAAAAACTCGTAGACTAGGCTAAAGGCCGAGCATCGTCTCCGAGTTTGTTTGTTATTCTTAGTTTGTTTGTTATTATTTTAAGTTACATGGTCCTGTGGTTGAAGCCACCTCCATCACACTTCTGATCACATCTACTTCGTTTTACATATTGAATAATAATTTCAGTTCACACAGGTGTTTCTGAAACTGACAATTATCGGTGTGTAAGTACGTTGTTTGGGGGAACAACGTTAGACCACGAGTTTCTCTGACCAGCCTTTTTTCGTTTCAGTTTGTCCATTCCTAAATTTAACTCATCGGAGAAGATGTCTGCTTCGTTGATGGTGTGTAGAAGACTCGCGGGTTCAAGTAAAATACTGCACAAATGTGTGAACCATGGATGGAATGCAAAGTCTGTGCCATCTGTCACACATCCACGTTTTTGGAGAGCAATGTCGACAGCGTTTTCTGGCTCGTTACTTGACCTGAACTTTCAAGACGAAGGAATGGCAGTGGTTACTATGAAAAGTGAACAGAACACACTGCTTCCTAAAGCGATTGGGGAATGGCACCAAGCTCTGGATGCAGTGGAACAGTAGGGATATTAGAGACGGTGTCTGTATCATTGTACATTTTAATGCATAATCAATTTAAGATATTAAATCAAACACCAATCTCATAATATTACAATACCAAATGATCCTTGTTTTTTACTTTCATATGGTTTTTATGTCGTGAAATGCCTAATATTTCCTCAAACTAAAAACAATCATTGGGTACTGTACACAAGAAACTTTATTATTCAACTGGGAAGCTATTAAGTATTGATTGATAGATTATATGATAAGAGAATTAATTCAATCACTTGGATATTAAGGTAGAGTGATTTGTAAAGGATTTCGAAAGGAAGACATTAAATTACACTCACATGTGTATCATACTGATTTCACAAAACTCCTGTAAGAATTTGTATATCATCCTCACTCTCGCTCAGGAAATACAAGAATTCTGACAAACATTTCGTATGTATCAGTATGGCACACATGCTCATGTAATAACAGGGTATGAAACTCCCAAAAATTTCAGCCAGACCACAGGACTGTCTAGCTGAAATACTTACCAGCCCTGACCAAAACCTGCCTGCCCACTATAATCATATGTTTCTCAGGATAATTTAATTAAAAATATGAAAACTGATTGCTTGTAGCATAAGCGCATCGCTAAATGTTAGGTTGTCTAAAAGCTAACAGAGTTTCTATTTGGTTACATTTTATCATTCATCTTTACATGTGAATTAATGCTTATCATCGGGAAATATTTAGAATATTTTCACCTATGAAATATAACCTGACCGTCGGGCAGGGGGATTTGAAAATCTGGCAGCCCGAGTTGGAATCAACCCGTCTCGGACGGTCGGGCAGGCAGGTATTTCGAATGCTGGTAATAATCTCTATTTATCATTCAAAACTGGCTTCAATCCACAGGAGGCATAGCTATAATGAAATTGGATAACAATGCTCAGCAGACGAGTGTGGCGTCATTGTTACCATGACGTCACATTCAACTGACATCACTAATCTGAATATCTCTGCCACTGAAGATGGTCAGCTGTACTTTTTACAGTGAAGACATTATTTAGAGATAAACATCCAGTGGGAGTTGTTTTTAATACAATAAAACACTTCAGGGAGAATAAGCCATGAGGGGTGCAGTGTTTTATTGTAGTGATTTCTAAAGTGTACTTTTAGTGTTTAGTGTAATACGTTATGAGGGGGGAGGGACATAGGAGGCCTAGTCATTTAAGCCGCCACAGTTTGCTGTGCTCAGTTGCCTCCCATGGGTACGCCAGAAACCTATGATCGTGGATTCGAATCAAGGTTCGCCTCTGTTATCTTTCTAGGTTTGTCAGCACCAAACCCATGCTCATGGGTTTCGCCAAAGTAGTAAACATCTAAGACCTGCATCAATTCAGGCTTTCTTACAACAATAAGTTGACACACCATGATATTATTGGAAAACTGTTCAAGGACACATTAAACCCACCTCTATCACTCACTTTATGAGTCTTTATAAATGTTTTTTCAGAAACTCTGAATGCCGTGCATTGGTGACAACAGGTAATGAGAAGTTCTTCTGTAACGGCCTTGACCTCCAATATGTGAAGACCTTCACGGACCTAGAGCGTCAACTGGAGCAGTATCTTGATGAATTGAACAAACTCATTGTGAGACTCATGCTGTTTCCTCTACCCACAGTAGCAGCGATCAGTGGTAAGTGCTCTTTCAGATCCTTTCAATAATTAGATCAGTTTAGTGTAATGACGCTTGGTGGAACATTTCAGTTATATGACAGCACGTGAGCTTGATATGGGAGGAGAGTCTGAAGTGATGCAAGTCTTAGATGCTTACTGCTCTCACCACAATCATGAAGCTGACAAATGCAAAAACACAATCATAGATAATCTGGGATTAGAACTCATGGTTGATTCATGGGTTTCTTGTATGAAAGAATGTCACACTTCACTGCAAATTTACAGCATCTTATCCTGGTATTATACCCCATTCACATGCACCTCTATACATATGTGTGTATATGTGCATACATGTGTAGAAATACATACGTGAGTTTACTTGTCATGTGAATGCCTTTACTCATGTGTATATTTACACCAGGAGCAAATTTGCATCATGTCTGGAGCAGCGTGTGTATATTTTGCAATGTGAACGTTTATGTTAACGTGATGGGATGATCTAATTAATATATCTTCTTTTGCCAGCACCAAACAAATTGTCAACAGTTGCCAACTTTTTTGCATATATACAGAGTTGAGCGGACGGTGTTTTCTTTTGGTTTAAAGGTGTCAAAACTTTGTGTATAAATTAAATCAAACACGTCTCTTCACATAAAATTTTTCGGTGAAGTAACTCTTTTCTCATTCAACTTTCATTGAAATACAACCTGTTTTGTGTTGAAAGTCGTTTACAGACAGATTAATATGTGTGCCTTACACATATAGTAAAGAACACATATTAAATTTACATGTACGAACGTATGTATGGTTACACATCTTTAAAATTACTTGTGTTAGTAAATGTTGTGCAGCTGAACAGGTATAAGACTACCTTGCCACCCAAGTCCCCCCATTTGATATGGAATAACTAAGTGAAGAAATTTCAAAATATTGATGTCAGTTTTGATATTATATTCCCAGGTCATGCCTTTGCTGGTGGTGCCATCTTGGCGTTTGCCCACGACCTGCGTGTCATGCGAGGAGACCGGGGATGGATTTGTCTGAATGAGATTCTCATAAACTTCAACTTCCCTCCAGTCCTTCTGGCTTTGGTCAGGTATGTAGAAATATTAATATGTTACGGATAGGGCTGGGACGAGTCCAAATTTACTACCTGTGTATCCGACCCCCTATTATCCAACCCTACCCAGGTACCCTCTGTAGGTCTCAAGAGTTGGTACAAAATGTTCCATGGGGAAGTGGTGTTTTAACGCAGCCCTAACAAAAACTATTTATATAAACTTATGAAATGATCTGATCATGCATACACTGATGTTTTATCTTTACCCAAACATATACAAGACAAAAGGAATGTCTTCCCGAGCCAAGAGAGTTAACTGACTATAAAAGTCCAGTTTCCACCCTTGCCGAACTAGGCTGGTATTATGGAGTTACATTTTGGCTGGACTGACGAGTCTATGCATACTCGTTGTCAGTAGATATTTTCCAAATCTTTTCATGTTTTTAATCAAGGTACTCACATGATTTGACTCATTTCGGGATGTAAGACCTGTTCTTATCACAGTATAGATCTTAATTATCAAGCAGATCGTCCTGACCGGGCGCCACCATTTTGTGTAAAGCAAACACAAGTGATAAGTTGGAATCTGATTGGTCCATAGGAGAGGCTTAGAAGGGACATAACTGGTAATAGCCACTGGTGGCGCTACGATCGAGCCCTGTAATTCCAGCCCAGTTCAGGAAGGGTGGAAACTGGACTTTTAAAGTCAGTTAACTCTCTTGCCTCAGGAAGATGAAGGAATGTGTACATGTTCAGAAAGAAATGCAAACAGGAGTGACTCAGAAACCATGGAGCTTCCTGAGGCAAGGGAATTAATTGGCTATAAAAGTCCAGTTTCTACCCTTGCTGAACTAGGCTGGAATAATGGAGTTTTATTATTTGCCCGTGAAGAGATCACCCGTTTAATAAACACACAGCTGTATTACACATTGTGTAATACCAAAACGCGTGCTTATGTACTCTCGGAACACGTTTCACGAATAAATATTGAAAGCTCTCAACATCCCTTGACTTATTCAACGATATTGCGTGTGGAGATGATAGATCACTGAGAGGAGCTTATGCACACTCGATGACCCCAGCAACCTTGTTCCTAGGCTGACGTCACATGGCATTGTTTCGCCGATGGACCTTGCAAAAACATTCCACAAATTACGTCATCGTGTATTGTGACGTAATTGTAAACTTTATGGTACCGTTCCACAAGGCGATCGTATTGTAGCGCAACGACAGTCGTTAGTCTAAGTTAAAGTATGTGAGTTGCGATTAGCCCTACGATAATTTTGTGGAACGGACGCCTGAATTCTAAAGGTGGACCGTTGTATGGTATTAAATTCATACGTTTCAACGTTTGACGTGTTTGAAGTATTATTTTGTTAAACTCAATTGGACTATGCCGTGGATCGTGTAGGTGTCAGCCTATTCATACTCAACAGTATAATTCTAAAAACGTTATCAATGGCAAGTAATAAATAAAATACTTAACTCGCTCCTGTGTAAAAACAATTTTATGAAACCCGTGAAGAGATCACACGTTTAATAAACATACAGCTGTATTACACATTGTGTAATACCAAAACGCGTGCTTATGTACTCTCGGAACACGTTTCTAGAACAAATATTGAAAGCTCTTAACATCCCTTGGCTTATTCAACGACATTGCGTGTGGAGATAATAGATCACTGAGAGGAGCTTATGCACACTCGATGACCCCAGCAATTTTGGCTGGACTAACGAGTCTATGAATAGTCCAATCAATATGGCGCAACAAAATTAACATCTTTTCATGTTTATGGTACACCTCGTGAAGTAGGACCCGTTATATTACAATATAGATCTTGATTATCAATCAGATCTTCTTCACTGGGCGCCGCCATTTTGTTTTGAGCAAATGCAAGTGATATGAGAGGTGGAATCTGATTGGTCAATAGGATGGACATAGAAGGGTCATGATTCGTATTAGACACTGGTGGGGCTATCATCAAGCCCAGAAATTCCAGCCTTGTTCAGTAAGGATGGAAGTTTTACCTTACCTGAGGCTTATACACAGTGCTTTAGGTTCCCTATACCTTATACAGACAGTACTGGAATGAAGAGACTGTTTAAACAGACTACAGCCCATGCCTAGGCATCGACGAGTTATCCCCCTTGGCCCCCACTCTTCATATTCTTTTGTGTCTGCCTCACGGACAGACGTATACACGGAACAGAGTTCTACTTACAGTCTTCCTGGTGCCCAAGAAGGGTTCGTCCAAACTACGAATGATCCACAATCTGGCGCTATTCAACCACCATAAACTCGCGCCTCCACCACATTTCCAGATGATCTCCATCTGGTCTCTGCGCCACCTCCTTCAACCGATGGACTAACTCATCAGTCTGGATCTCCAGGATGCCTACCTGCACGTTCCCATTCAGGCAACACATCGTCGTTTCCTCAGCTTCATCTTCCAGGGCCAGAACTTTAAGTCGAAAGTGCTCCCATTTGGTTATTAACGAGTATAACCCATCCCATCGTTGCGTTCCTTCACCGCAGGGGGATTCGGTTCAGAGCCTACCTTGACAACTGCATCCTTGGTCAAGGCGTCAATCAAACCGTGATTCTTCAGCGCGATCTCACCCTTCGCCTCCTCCATCGGTTGGGTTGGATGATCAACATGGAGAAATCTGATTTGACTCCCTCTCGCCATCTCACTTTCAAAGGCAGTCTCTTTCTGACAGACCTCTCCTTTATACAAGTTCCTCATGATAGGTTCGCGGCAATCCAATCCGGGGTCAGGAAAGCCCTCTCTCAACCTCTCGATCTCCGTCAGTGGCAGAGCCTTTTCGGGCTGTTGACCTCAGCTCAGGATCTGACGTCCAGGGGTTGTCTTCAACTGCGTCCCCTTCAGCGGTTTCTCCTGCCATTTCTGTTCTCAGATCTGTCAGGTCCCCTTCTTCCTCTGCCAAGGGACTTACATCCATTCCTGGAGTGGTGGCTAGTATCATCGAACGTTTTGAGTGGTTTCCTCTTTAACCATCTCTTCGTGGACGCATCTCTACAAGGACACCTCCATAGAAGGTCTCGTCAGTTGAACTTTCTAGTCAGCCAATCAGCATCAAGTCTTTTGCACTTGGATAAGCAATATGATTTTTGTATCTCCAAAACAAACTTAAATGACCAGTTCTGAATGTAAATAAGAAAAGCCATGTCATTATATTTTCTAGGTAATTGTACACCCAAAAGGAAATATCATCGAAGGAATATATTTTTTCTGTGTTGGTTTTCTTTTGTTAAAATAAAAATTTCTGAATCAAGTTGATGAAGAAATAAAGCTAAATCATTTAGATTTAACTGATTGGCTCAAGAACCCATGCATTCTTCATTTAGTATAGGGCTGGCAGGACCTAATGGTGGATAGGTTGTCAGATCTTCAGGCAGCGACGTATCATCTCAGAGTAAGAGAACTGATTACAATGAGAGTAGGGCGGTCGGGTAGCCTAGTGGTTAAAGCGTTCGCTCATCACGGCGAAGACCCGGGTTCGATTCCCGACATGGGTACAATGTGAGAAGCCCATTTCTGGTGTCCCCCTCCGTGATATTGCTGGAATATTGCTAAAAGTAGCGTAAAACCCCACTCACTCACTCACTCACTCACTATAATGAGAGTAGCTAGAGACCCTAGGGACCAGAGGCATTGAAGTCTAAGACTTAACCCAAAATTGTAACCTCAATCTTTCGATACAACTCATATCCCTCATGTAGGTTGAATGGTGGAGTAGTGGTCATAGTGTTCGCTTGTCACGCCAATGGCTCTTGTCAGATTCGCAACATCGGTACATAGTGTGATGCCTATTGTTTATTTTCCACAATATCTAAAGCCGATTTCTCCCTCATTCTCTCTTTCAGGGCCAAGCTAGCCCCAGGCCCCCTGCTGACCCAAGCTGTACTCCAGGCCAAGCGGTACACCGCCGAGGAAGCTGTAAAGTGCGGGATAGTGGACCAGGTGGTTGACCAATCACAGCTGGTCAACACAGCTGCACAGATGGCCAATGAGTTTCTAGGGAAACAGGGAATAAAGCGAGAGACCCTGCACAGTTTCAAGAAAGACTTGTACAGCCCTGTTCTCCAAGCCTACAGTGGCCGGGTGTGACAGTGTGTCAGAGAGGGGAGAGACGTTTTACATCTACAACTTGTTATTGAGGGCACTGATTTCCTTTTCTGGAAATGACTAATATAGACACATACAGAGCCTGTGACTTTATTGAAAGAGGAAAAATGTTTTCTATTCCTTACTATTGCATATCAACAGAATGAGATTGCATTGATTAAAAATACAAAAATAATTTGATTTGTGAAAGGTGTGTATTGCATATTGTACTCCAGTGAAGATTCCAGGGCAGGATAGTTCGCCAGGACCCTCGGATTGTTGCTTGTGCTGTTTTCCACTGGGCTGCCTTGCTTAGTCTATCGCTGGAATAAACAGCATTAAACAACAAACAAACAATCGCTAAGTCTGTTGTATTATATGTTTGTTGCAGGACGTGGAGTCATCCCACAGATGACATCCTTACCTTGTCAGTTTGCTGACAGTGTTAACCTCTTTGGTCATGTGGACAAGGTGTCCGACTTCTGATCAGTAGGTCCGTTTTTCGAATCCCATCAGTGGACTCAGACATTTAATGACAGCTACATGTTCATTCTCTTTGATGAATACCCTGGAATCATTGACCACTCTTCTCCCATCTCTCATCAACTCAGCTCAGATTTCCTCTTGCTCGTGAGTTTGAAATCAACAATCAGTGACAATGACTCGTCTGGCAAGATATTGGGGGGCGGTCGGGTAGCCTTGTGGTTAAAGCGTTCGCTCGTCATGCCGAAGACCCGGGTTCGATTCCCGACATGGGTACAAAGTGTGAAGCCCATTTCTGGTGTCCCCCGCCGTGATATTGCTGGAATATTGCTAATAGCGGCGTAAAACCATACTCACTCACTCACTCTGGCAAGATATTGGCATACATCTATATAAAAATGGTACACTCATCCAAGAGAGCCTTCAATACATGTGTAAGACCTGTGAAATCACCAGGTTACGAAGTATCAAAAAGTGCAAATCCTGGCTGCACAGTCTGGAAGACGCCTAAAACAAAATGAACAGATCTAGCTGTGGATGTTGGTGTCCAGGCAGTGCAGGCAGAAAGAGGCTATTAAAAAGTTTAGGGGTCCCACGGTGGCACTGGCCCTTGTCATGTGACCCAATAGCCCCAGGCTATTGGCTAAAAGCTGTTGCTATGGGACCCATGAGACCAGTGCCGTGAACCCCCAAACCTTATTCTAAAATTAGTAAATTGGCGGGATATTTTGGTTCCTGGTGTATAAATGAACTTGGGCAAAATATCAAGCCTTTACACATGTATTCTGGAGACTTTTTTAAAACACCTTTCAGTTGGAAAAAAATGTGTTCCTGATTGTAATGAAACAGTGGTGATATTGCTTCAGGTTTAAAACATTTATGATCAAGGATACCGATTGGACGGCTATTTTAGTGACTTGTCATTCAAATCAGGCTGAAAACGAAGCAATAGTGGTCACTGGGGCCAGAATGTTGTATCAGTAAGTGAGGAGTTGGGGTTAACCCCACTTTTAAAAGTATTCTAGTTATATCACCACATATCGTGAAGATCCGGGGTTAGGATAGGTCTTCAGCAACCCATGGTTGCTGTAAAAGGTGACTCTGCTTGTCGTAAGTGGCGACTAACGGGATCGGGTGGTTAGACTCACTGACTTGGTTGATTCATGTCACTGTATCCCAATTGTGTGAGCAATGCTCATGATGTCAATCACTGGATTGTCTGGTCCAGACTCGATTATTTACAGACCGCTGTCATATTACAGGAATATTGCTGAGTGCAGCATTAAACAACAAACCAACAAATAGGAGTCAAATAGAGGAAATACGGTACCTCTGTTAATAAACATCTAGCTGACAATTAAGAAACCTGTTGTGACATGAATAAGCAGGCACAATATAAATGCAACAAGCTGGCTTATTGCGTTTAGAACAGCTGGTCATCGAGAGACATCTACTCAGTTAATTTAGAATTTTGAAAGAGAAAAACAATTTTATATGGCACAATTATTTTTAGTCTGTATTCTGTGCGGAATTGTGGTTACACGACAGAAGAACTGAGGATGTCTGTTTCGTTGATGGCGTGTAGAAGACTCGCGGGTTCAAGTAAAACACTTCACAGATGTGGGAACCATGGGTGGAATGCAAACACTTTTCCATCTGTCACACATCCACGTTTTTGGAGAGCAATGTCGACAGCGTTTTCTGGCTCGTTTCTTGACCTGAACTTTCTAGACGAAGGAATAGCAGTGGTTGCTATGAAAAGAGGACAGAACACGCTGCGCCTTAAAGTGATGGAAGAATGGCACAAAGCACTAGATGCAATCGAAAAGTAGGGATATTTGAGTGGTACAGGCTGAAACGGCGCCTCAGAAAAACGTCACTGATTATATCGGGCGAAAACGGCTCTGATTGTCGAGCGAAAGTGGTACTTTTATATTTTTATATTTTTAATATCGATAAGAACGATCTATGTGGTAGTATATGTTTTTTTCATTGGTTCATTTAGAGTCTATTTCTCCACCCACAATTGTGATATTTGTCATCTCTCATTGTCACATAGATTGTCGGGGCGGTCGGGTAGCCTCGTGGCCTTCGCTCGTCATGTGGAAGACCCGGGTTCGATTACGGACATGGGTACAATGTGTGAAGCCCATTTCTGGTGTCCCCCCGCCGTGATATTGCTGGAATATTGCTAAAAGCGGCGTAAAACCATACTCACTCACACACAGATTGTCACGACGCTGTTCCATGAACCACAGATCCCTGTGTAAGCAACTGTGCGAGGTGAACTGTGAGTTTAATTTCATTTGTTCCTTGTTTTTAAAAACCAAGGTAAAAACTTATGGTGCCGTTTTCGCTTTGGGCATGTTCCGTTTTCGCCAGTCAGTGTCGTTTTGTTGAGGTGACGTTTTGTTGAGGTGTCGTTTTAGCTTTAACGGTATCAGTAGCATGTGTTTTTTAGCAATACATTTTATTACATAATCAGTTTAAGATATTAAATTAATTATCAATCTAATAATATTACTACACCAAATGATAGTTGATTTAGTTTCATATGACTTTGATGTCATGAAATACCTTTAAAATATTTCCTAATTGAACTGAAAAGATTATTGGCTACTGTATAATAGCAACTTTAAGTTTGAGCTGGGAAGCATTCATTGATGAGATTATATAAGAGAATTTATTCAATTACTTGGATATTAGGATACAGTGATTTGTAAAGTGTATTTTTGGAGTGTTAGTGTAAATACTTTATAAGCCTTAATAAATGTTTGTCCAGAACATCTGAATGCCGTGCATTGGTGACAACAGGTAATGAGAAGTTCTTCAGTAGCGGCTTTGATCTCCAATACATGGAGACTATAATGGACCAAGAGCGTCAACTAGCGCAGTTCGTCGATGAATTTAACAAACTCATTGTGAGACTCATGCTGTATCCTCTTCCCACAGTAGCAGCGATCAGTGGTAAGTGCTTTTGCAGATCATTTCAATAATAATAATAATAATAATAGGCCACACCACTTAGGAGCATGCTATTATTACCCCGGTCACTGGATCAGTGTGCACTCAAGTATCATTCTCAGCTCCCTGGGGAGTATACAACCCAAGCTGCCCGTTAGGCGCTAAAAGCTAAACAACCACATTGCCATTTCATCCTACCAAGTACCCATTCAGTAAAGAAAAAATAGAATAACACAGAATATTTATCAGTATTCAAACAATGTTAACAATAATTTATTTTGTGGCCTGTGACATGATATTGAATAGTAATAGACATCCATAGTGTTATTTACTGTGTATATTTTTAGAGTGAGTGAGTGAGTGAGTGAGTGTGTTTGGTTTGTCATTGCTTTGAATGGTACTTCAGTTTTGTATCAGCGTATCAGCTTCAGGTGGAGGGAAACGTCTTAAGCGTTTACAAGTCTTCTTAAACCCACATGCATGGGTGTAATGCTTACGAAACAAGAAACATGATGAGGGCGTATCTGTGAGACGCTTCCACAACCATAGGTTTCTGGCATGCCTAAGGGACGCAACTCTGAACTCTTAAGTTCCATCGCCATATACTAAATGTGTCGATTCCAAATTGAAACAATATCTAAACCTAGAAATCTGTACGTAAAGGAATTTAGTGTGAAACCAACAAACAAACAACAAATGGTATACAATTAACAAATGTATCAACAATGCAACTTACAGCACAGCACAGCACAGCAATTACAATGTCAGTATGCAATAGAGTGGTCGTACCATATTCAATGGCAGTATCAAATACAAAAATATGATGGCAGTGGTGATAGCAATAAGTTCAGTGGTAATAAAATTCACCTATCCGCAACAGCGTTCAAGCTTCCGAGATAGGCCCACCTGTGTATCCGGGATGATAAGTGATCTTCACACGAAGCTGGTCTTGGTGTAATGTCAGGTGAAATATGAGATGGGACAGGCACGCGCCCGCTCCACTTATATAGCCTAACTTGCTGACAGCACTTTCAACACAGTGTTAGACCAGTCCAGCGTCGAAAAAACATCACAGAATATTCCACATGCTTCTTTAACGCTTGACATCCATGGTGTTCCGGAAGTTTACAGATAATTAGAGCATCTAAATATAACAACTTCCTCACCACTGCTTACATTAAATAGTACTTCGTTCCTGACAACTAATTATTGTCCAAATACAATGCAATGAACTTCTACTGAATCCCAACAGAAACAATATGATTCAGTTACAATCATTGTTTAAAATAAATAGAGGATATTTCATGTGTCGAGTGAAATATCTCCTTTTCCCCCGGCGAGATGAGAGACACATGATATTATCACCTTTTCCCCCGGCGAGATGAGAGAAACGTGATATTTCACGAGACATATGGAATTTCCTATTTATATTATACTTTATCTGAAGATATCTACCCGAAAGAAAATTTATTTCAATACAAATGCAAAAGCTTGAAACGTAAATTCTCCCTACCCGACACACAGGGACGGTTCAGCATCCCTTGTATTTGCGACTTAAAAAGTAGTTTCGTGTTTGCAAAATCTTAAACAATATAAACAAAAGTATCAAAAAATATTGATGGTCACGAAAATTCTTTATCATACATTTATATATTCAAACACAACACACACAAAATATCCTTGAAAATGAGGAGACCGCTGTTGGAAGCGAAATACACGCTTGCCAAGTATAAAAAATGGCGCTTTGCGAAACGACCAATCTCGATTGACGAGTTATAAGTGAGAAATTTGCAGTTTATAACGAAACATTTTTGAGAGAATAACAAACGGCAAGAAGTGATATTAACTCCATTAATGACCATCTGACATTATTTTGCCTTGTCAATGTGGAACTAACGTAGAAAGGACGTCAACAGTTTGTGTACGGGCTAGACACTTACGATAAAGGGAGATAATGTAAGGGGAGGTAACTCTTTTATGAAAACAGTTCCTTCAAAGTCTTTCTTATATGTTCACCGACTTTTCTCAACTTCAGAAAACTCAGTCTTTCACACTGAAGTACATAATAAATTCCACTGCCATATAATATAGGCCATCCAAGCCCCCATAAGATGAGATATATAGAAAAATCGAAACGCAGTTTTTTTATTGGTTTTTCATATTATATTTCCAGGTCATGCATTTGCTGGTGGTGCCATGTTGGCTTTAGCCCACGACCTGCGTGTTATGCGACGAGACCAGGGATGGGTGTGTCTGAATGAGATTCTCATTGATGTTACCTTTCCTCCAGTCCTTCTGGCTTTTATAAGGTGTGTTATAATGAAGGGTATTGGGAATCAAAGAAACATTTGAGGCAGTAAAGCGAGCATCAGATTTAAGCTTCCAGAGACGCTTTTGTTGTGGTGCACCAGATGTGATGAGGTGCAGTAGGGAACCTCCTTTTGATTAGTTGTTGGGGTGGGGGTTAATAGTACAATCTGCGTTTTCTGTGAGTGGGTGAGTTAGGCTTAACTCCGCTTCTAACAGTATTCCAGTTATATCACGGCGTGTCAACTTAATGTGAGAGGAAAGCCCGAAGTGATGCAGGTCTCAGACGTTTACCACTTCGGTGAAACCCACGAGCACGGGTATGCCCAAAACTGTAACCTTGGTCTTTCGACAAGACTCCTATATTCACCATATATTTCCAGGGCCACATTTCTCCCTCATTCTCTCTTTCAGGGCCAAGCTAGCCCCAGGTCCCCTGCTGACCCAAGCTGTACTCCAGGCCAAGCGGTACACCGCCGAAGAAGCTGTAAAGTGCGGGATAGTGGACCAGATGGTTGACCAATCACAGCTGGTAAACACAGCTGCACAGATGGCCAATGAGTTTCTAGGGAAACACGGAATAAAGCGAGAGACCCTGCATAGTTTCAAGAAAGGCTTGTACAGCCCTGTTCTCCAGGCCTACAGTGGCCAGGTGTGACAGTGTGTCAGAGAGGGGAGAGACGTTTTACATCTACAACTCCTTGTTATTGAGGGTGCTGGTTTCCTTTTGGGGAAATTATGGAAATAATGACACACACAGAACATAAATTCGGTGGCTTTGTTCAGAGCAAAACATAAAAAATCTTGTCCTTACTAGTGCATATCCATAGACTGTGTTTACATTGATTAAAAATTTAAAAAATAATTTGTTTTGTTTTTGGTTTGGTTTGTTGTTCAATGCCGCCCTCAGCAATGTTCCAGCTTGATGACGGCGGTCTGTAAATAATCGAGTCCGGACCAGACAATCCAGTGATTGACATCGATCCACGCAATTGGGATACGATGGCATGCATCAACCAAGTCAGCGAGCCTGACAACCCACTTTCACAACTCGTAATTAGTAATTAATGCTAATTACAACTATTAATATCGTAATTCAGACTTTCAAAATTCTTAATTACTCTGATCTCATATTTACAAGTTTGAATAAACAAATCTTTTAGCTGGCGTATGATACTGCCTAGAGACCATCGTGCATTGACGTACTTGCCGTCGTCAGTGATGAAGGGGCGACAGCCCACCAATCCGCCTCAAAATCGGTCAAATAACAACGCGTTGGCTGCACTTGTTACGCTGATGATTACGTACATATTTTTATATGCAAGGGGTCGGCGTATGGCTCTCGGTGGGAAATGACAATATGGAGTCGATGGGGCTTGCGGTATATACAAATGTACTTTTTTCCAGGTTGACACACGCACGCACGCACACGAAGCACGGTGTACCAAGTCAGCACACTGTGATAATAGTGATGGTGTTGGTGCCCCAGGCTTACTCTAGAGGATACTCATCTCTGAACCTTAGCTCCAAGGTCACCCTTCGTGGATATTAAGTCACAAATATAAACAATAGTTATTAATCACAGACAAAGTTTCACAGCTCATTCAGGATGGCAGACAGTCAGTGTACAAGGGGCAAGGGCGGATCAAGCATTTTTTTATAGGGGGTGGGGGGTCCGCCTTTGATGAGGAATGGCAATTAAATGATTCAAGACATATACATGTCATGGCTACAACGTAATTAACCTTGGTAAAAATGCTCTTTCAGACAATGATTGTCCGAAATCGGTCACTATGACCTAAGCATGAGTTATGTTCAGCATGGAAAAGATATAGATCTACATTCGCTTTTACTCGGTGTATAGTTTTTGATATCCTTGCTACACTTTTAAAATTCCGACGCATTATGGAAGAGGGGAGATCGGATGCCGACACACAATGTCCCATTCAAAGCTTTGTTATTTTCGACACGGAGACAACAGGTCTCCCAAAACAGAAACCAAAAATAACCGAGCTGTGTTTTCTTGGAGTCCGGCGAAAAGACCTCGGTACGAAAGAGGGCGTGGGTCCGCGAGTGATGAACCAACTGCTTCTGTGTGTCAACCCCCGTAAACACATAGAGCCTGAGGCTGCGTCCATTACAGGTAACATACAGCATTCTCAATACCATCGATGCTTCGTGAATAGAGCTAAACAATATAGGTCAATTTATCCACCTTTACAGGGCCTCAGTCAACTCGAAGTGTCTCATCCCGGGTGACAACGCACGCAGACTAAAATACGATCGACTGTGACAGTTTTCCAAGACAGAATCGTCAGAATGTATAACTTTGTATTTGTGGATCTGACCTCATTTAATCTGTCGTTTTCGTTGTGTCAACTAAACTTTATGGTTGTGCAACCACTGAATCAGTGAACGTACAAATGTACATGTAGATCTAACGGAAGGATGCATCAGTCGTACCACGTGACCCTTAATTGTTTCGTTTCGCCCCTGTGGCTCAAGTACGAAAAGGCGGAGCATGCCTGATCAGTATGGTGGCCGAGAGGGGACATCGCTTTCTCGCTCTATATCGCTTTCTCGCTTTATCGCTTTCTCGCTTTCTCGTGGTTAAGCAATATCCCCTCTTGACCACTATAGGGGCCGCATGTGATATCTGCTGCAATTGGGAGGTAATGTTGAACTTTTCTCACTATTTACTTAAAAAAGGGGCACTGATCTAACGCATTTCCCCGGACTGGTTGTTGCCTTTGTTATTGTTTTTCCCCCGTGAGTACCCGGATGATACGCAACGCAACTGAGCGTGACCAGAGACTGGGCTACCGTCTGCAAGGACAGCTAAATAAACTTGGAGGCTGGAGGCAATATTTGTTTGACGCATTTTTGCATAAACACTGATTGGTTAACTGTGATCTATAAAAAATTCGACAAAGGGCGCATGTTAATTAATTTCTCCAGCCTAAACAAACAGACAAAAAGAACGACGGAGCTCATCGGATGTCGTCATTTGGAAATACCCGAGATGGTTATAGTTTAATACTAAAAAAAGTATCCTTGCAGTGAAAGCATTTTCGGATTTCCGATTGCGTCGATAATACGATTACTACTCTCTTGTTGTCATCCACGTTTTCTCGTATAACCCTACACTTGTGTATTTGTCGTCATTCACTTGATGCTCAGTTAATGAATTTATTACAGGTACAATTAGTGGTAGCACCACTTAGATTACCTGACAAAGGTTCCCATTTGGCATTTATTGTGTCAGGGGTAATTATTCAATCTAAATCCAGTTTTGAAGTGAGATGAAATGTGTGTTATGTAATATGCACGTGGCATCCCAGCAAGAGATGAATGATCAGTTGATTCACTTTTTTTGTTGTAAATCAACGGATCGTTCCTAGCCATCAAAGGATTAACAGAAAATACGTTGATTGATTAATCACTGTTATCTTGCACAGTGGATATGTCAAAAGTGAGTGTTTACATGTCTAGGTTTACTAAAACAAAGGGAATACACTCACATCATGGCGTGAAGTGCCGATGTAAAAACAACATACTTTGTTCAAAGGGTTAACTGATAATACGTTGATTGATTGCTCATCTATCACTCGATGGATTTTTTAGGAACCGTGGACGTTATGAAAATAGTTGTCACGTGGGCTTTCTCAGCCGACCCTTGAGACTTGACACCTATGTGAAACACCTGAAACAATCTAAGTGATCAGTTGAGAAACAAACACGAAACGATATATATCTTTTAAAATATTTGATTGTTACAGAGACACGTGACATCGAATAAGTTTCTTTGTACAGCTGCAGACGAGTAGGATATTGTTCCTTTGTGTGCATGGATATTCACGGATACATTCCTCGAACAAGGAAGCTGCCTAAAATGTATACACATAAATTTGGTAGGTTGTAATTATGGTATTTGCATTTTGTTTTCCTTCATTTGAACCGATTCGTTCTTGGTCCTCTACATCTTGGTTGGGAAATTCTTCAATGCGCGATAGACGTTGTTTTCACAAGTATCCTTTGTAAGCGTGTATATATTACCGTCAATTTGTAAAATCTGATTCTCTCAGGCAATTTATAAAATGTGTAAATATTTCAGGCATTTTGACTGAAAAATCCGTCCAGATTGACTAAAATTGATTAAGACGATCCAACTGGCCTAAAAACACCACAACAGATTATTATGTAGGATGAGAAGCCAAACAACATAGAAATGTACTTTTCAACGTAACATTTTCTCTTGGTGATGACATTAAACATCAAAATGTTTGGAATTCGTTATTATAATAATACAGATGGAAATGTTTTTCAGTCACTTTGTAAAATAACTGAATATTTAGACGTTTAATAAATTTGTTACACATTTTGACAGTAAAAAAATATACACACTATAAAAAAAGCAATGCTCAGGTGAAATATTTACTTTGTGTTGCAAGTCGAAATAGTGTAATAGTGTCGAAAATTCGCAAAATTACCAAGCAAGTGACTTATCAAAACTTCGTCACCATTACCGATGCTACCCACAAAGATACCTACATTTCCTTATTATCTCGAAAACTGTATTTAATTTTGTTGATCAATGTGACCATACGCCCTTATTACTACCCATTGACTAATGCGCTTACGAATAGCGCAGCAGAGGTCGCGAACTAGTCTAGATTTCTGCTATACATCCGGGTACTCACTGGGAAAAAACAATAACAACGGCAACAACCAGTCCCGGGGAATTGCGTTAGATCAGTGCCCCTTTAAGCATAATTAAACTGTACAGACGTAGGTGATTTTAAAACAATCCACCGATTTTTGCGTAAAATGTAATTGATCTATTTATGGCCCTTTTCAGTTGTATGTGACCATCACGCCGAAAGCGCGTGGCAGATCATGGCAATACGCTCTAAATAAATCAGGTTAAAATCTAAATATATACTAAATATATAAGTTAAGAAGACTATTGTTAATCAGTCATGGCTGATTGTTTTGCAAAAATACAATCTTATAATTGTGAGTGTTCTATAACTAGTTTTCGGTAGTATATGATGATACAGTGTGTCATAAGGTTGTCCGTAAATGTTCTTTTTGACATTTGATGTATGTTTAACTTGAATTGTGTTTCTTGTCTTGTGCAAATCTACAAATATTTGTACTTGCATATAGTAATTTGATAAACACCGCTGTGAGTGAGTGAGTGAGAATGGTTTCACGTCGCTTTTAACAGTAATCCAGTAATATCACGGGGAACACCAGAAATGGGCTTCACACATTGTACCCATGTGGGGAATCGAACTGGGTCTTCGGCTTGACGATCGAACGCTTTAACCACTAGGCTACCCCACTGCTCCCCATCGCTGTGGCGTTACCACAGTTGATATGTGTACTTGTGTTAACTACACATATGGAGAGACGTAATTAGTGTGGGCACATAGTTAAGGTTGATAACAATATGAAATGCATTACTATGATTATTTATAACATATATTAAATCAGCTATCATTGTAATATGTTATGTATATCTTAAGTATAGTTTTGTCAAAAGTATGTATGTGTGTGTGTGTGCGTGCGTGTGTGCGTGCGTGCGTGCGTGCGTGCGTTCGTGTGTGTGTGTTTGTGTGTGTGTGTGTGTGTGTGTTTGTGTGTGTGTGTTTGTGTGTGTGTGTGTCCGACTCATTGTCTGTGTAAAAAGGTAGTAGATAACTACATAACTCACATCAGAACGCACAATTGTTAACCATACAGTTTAAATGGATAGAGAATTGCTACATAAATATGTATATTCCTGCCTGAGCCTATACTATAATTGGATATCTAGTCTCTCCTGGCGGGAAAGTTAAACTATATTTTACAAGCACTTTAGCATTAAACTGTATTCCCGAAGACAGTTTGATCGAAAGTCATTATAAGAAACGAGTTGTTTTTAAAAAATTATTTACGACGCATTTCATTATTGTGAAAGGACCAAGGAATGGTGTTACGGGTTAATGACGCTCTCGTAAGTCGTATATGTGACTTAAGGTAGAGACATGTATCTAATTCATCTGTATTTTGTAAGGGAAACATAACTGTGTACATGTACAACTTTTGTTTGCATAACGTGCATACAACTTAATGAACATGATTGTGATCCCGAAATCGGACGAGCACATATTCGGCTTCAATTCCAAATCTAATGACCGAAAAGAATAATTCTTTGGACGTTATAAACAATACAAACTGGCTAATAAAACTGACAATTATTTGTCAATATATGATCTCCTTTTTATCAGTTTTAAGATTGATGGAGGAATGAGGGGAGGATACTGTGAACAAAATGAAAATATGAACAGTGACTATCTGTATTCTGTGAATCTTGCTTATTTATTACACTACAAGAAAATATACAAGCTAAACGAGAAAAAATTACGTCTGTATTTTGTAACATATTGATCTACTACAAGATGTTTAAAAAATCTAATCATAACAGGCAAAATAGCGGTGAGAATTACAGGAATGGATCACTAAATGTCAGCAAAAACCGTTTTAATGTACGGCATTATGGGAAATATTGCTTTCTCGCTCTATCGCTTCCTCGCTCTATCGCTCTATCGCTTTATCGCTTTATCGCTCTGTCGCTTCCTCTAATGACTAACCATAGTCATATGAAGGAATCGGGTGTTATTTAACTTCTTTTGAATAGTATGTACTGTAAATCTTGAAATTAACGTTAGAGTTAATTATAAATGCAAACAAATTAGCGTAGACTTAATTACCGCATTCGACGTAATAAGCGCCCAGGGCGCTCTCAAAATTAGAATATTATTTTGGTGAATAAAATGTTGAGTTGAAAGATGAATTTCGTGGTTTATGCTGACAGCCTGAAATGTTTGTGTACGACAGATATATTTTTCCCGAATTTAATTGCCCATAATTAAGTATGCATATAACGAGTGCTTATTATACGCGAATAAATAAGTCTTGTGTACATTAATCAATCGGAAGGGGTGCCAATTGGGATTGTTCACCAGCCAATATATTAGCAAATATTGCCGTGGGCGTTTATTAGAGCGGGGCTCTTATTACGTCGAATACGGTAATTATACTTTGCATCTATGTCTCAGAAATGACTGTTGATAAGGCGGCCTCACTGAACACTTTGAATAGCGGAAATACAAACTTGAATATAAAACCCATCAACTATCTATTTCCACATTACGGTTACTGAGAACAATATGTCATCCAAAAACAAGAAATTACATAATGGACATCCGGTATAGTATTACCATTGGGTGAGGACTTCCACTTTGATGACATCTACTCCGCAAACAGAATAAGCATTGATATAAGCCTTGTTTTTAGGAAAACACTATTGCTTTTTAGGAAGTACGTACTACTCAGCGCTATTGAGCGGTGTTATTTGCTATTTGTTTTGATAACCTGGCCAAGCGATTCACCGATAAGATAACGCCGGGTCAAGGGCAATCCCCCAATGAATATTTTTATTAACTTTTGACGCTTGGAATTCTCAAAAATGTTTCGTACGATAGTAGACATCGAAAGGTACTTCTGGTATACATGAACGTCGGAGAAGAACTTGCTTGCCCTCTCTCCATTGAAACTGAACCAGGTTCATGTTCAAACGAAAGTCAGCTTAGTACAGGCCTAATATGATTTGGTTTGTATGTTTGTTGTTTAACGCCGCACACAGCAAAATTCCAGCTATATGACGGCGGCCTGTAAATAAGAGAGTCTGGACCGGACAATCCAGTGATTAATATCATGAGCATCGATCCACGCAATTGGGATCGATGACATGCATCAACCAAGTCAGCGAGCCTGACCACCCGATCCCGTTAGTCGCCTCTTACGACAAGCATAGTCACCTTTTACGGCAAGCATGGGTTGCTGAAGACCTATTCCACCCCGGATCTTCACGGGTCCGCCTTAAATGATATCACCATGTGGTGTTTCGATGTCCCCCCAAACCTCAAATGCGCCAACCGTGAGCGTATTTGTCGCTTTTATCGATAGTATATATGTGGGCGTATCGTCACATTGATCAACAAAATGATCCAAAAATTTGATGTTTAATATAATCACCCAGTGACTGAAAATTAATAGAAAACGAAAGTCAAACTACATTTGTATGTATTATTCTTCTATCCTTAGCATAATTAGTCTATTGTGATGTTTTAAGCCCTTTTGAACGTCTTAATAAATTTTAGTCAATCTGTTAAATAATTGGACCGATTTTTTAATATTTTTTTTTTTTAAATGACTGACCTATTTAGACATTTTACGAATCTATTGTCTGAGTGAATCACATTGTGTACATTGACTGTAACACATACACGCCTACTACGAAAACGTAGAGGATCAAGAATGATTCTGTTCAATGCTACAGCAAATGAATGAAAACAAAATGCACATATCGAAATTACTACCGACCAAAGTTACATGTACATATAAGGCAATTACCTTGTTCGAGGAATATTGCCGTGAATATCCACATAAAGGAAATATCCCGTCTGCAGATGTACAAAGACACTTCTTCGATGTCACGTGTCTTTTTAATAAGGTCAGACAGACAGATTTATTCAGTATTCAGGCCTCCAGCCCATAATACATGTTAACATAATGTACTTTTAATAATGTAATATTGTAAGATATATATAACGTTTCTTTATATTTAAACTCGTGTTCGTTTCTCAACTGATCACATAAGTTTGTTTCATGTATTTCACATAGGTACCATATCTCATTAGTCAGCTGAGATAGCACACGTGACACCTGTGTCCACGTTCTTTAAAAAAAATCCATTGAGTAAGATGACAATGAAAAAACAATCAACGTATTATCGGCTAATCCTTTTTGATTTGTTTTTACATAGGCACTTCACGCCCAGATAGGTGTATTCCGTTTGCTTTAGTAAACCTACACATGTAAAAGCCTACTTCTGACAAATCCACTGTGCAAAATTTAACAGTGATTAATCAATCAACGTATAATCTAAATACTAGAATCTGTACTTTCCTAAGAAAGTGTTATGCCAAATATAACATATTATCCATGCAATCCCTTATCCGAAAATGCTTTCACTGCCGGGATACTTTTTTTTTATATTAAACTATAACTATCAGGTGAGCTTCCACAGTTCTTTTTGTCTGTTTGTTTAGGTTGGAGAAATAAATTAACATACGCCCTTTGAAATATCGAAATCTTCATAGATCACGGGTAACCAATCAATGCTGAAAAATGCGTATAGATATTGCCTCAAAGTTTATTTACGCCGTCCTTACAGACGTATCCCAGTTATGATATACTTCAGTGCGAAAGACTGAGTTTTCTGAAGTTACGAAAAGTGTTATTTTCATTGCAGTGAACATAACACTTGATATTTCACTACATTGGACATAATACTTTGACGGAACTATTCTCATGCAAGAGTTACCTCCCCTTAAATTGTCTCATTTTTAACATGAGTGTCTCGCCCGTACATAAACTGTTAGTTCCATATTGACAAGGCAAAATAATGACAGATGGTCATTTATGGATGAATAATAAACGGCTTCATGCCGTTTGTTATTCTCTCGAAAATGTTTCGTTATAAAACTGTAGATTTCTCATTTAACTCGTCAATCGAGACTTTGTTTCGCAAAGCGCCATTTTTGTTACTTGACCATGTGTGCATGCAGCGTGTATTCTTTTGATTCCAGCAGCGGTCTCCTAGTTTTCAAGAATATTTTTTCTAAAAGTTGATTTTGTTTATAATTATATCTAAATGTATGATAAAGAACATTCGTGACCCTAAATATTTTTGGATACTTTTATATTTATCTTTGTTTAGATTTTGCAAACACGAAACTATTTTTTAAATCACAAATACAACTACTGAACCGTCCTTGTTTTTGTGGTTTTAGGTTTCAAGCTTTTGCATTTGTAATGAAATAATTTTATATATAATAAATAGGGCATTCCATGTGTCGAGTGAAATATGTTTTCACTCGTGGCTACGGTAGTGTCCCCTTAATGGCCACATATCAGGTCTATGGGTCATTCTTGGATCACCGACCCTACTTCTATAGTATTAGATATGTTAACCAAGTGATAAACAAGAGGTCATACCAGTATTTTATTGCTTCCAGGTCTGGACAATGAAGTCTTGGCGGACCAGAAGCCATTCGACAAAGACATGGTTCAGCTGATATCAAGCTTTCTCAGTCGTCTTGCTAAGCCAGTGTGCCTCGTTGCACACAACGGCGACCGCTTTGACTACCCCCTCCTTGTCACCGAGTTGCGTCAAGCGGACGCAGACCTACAAGACGACCTCCTCTGTGTGGACAGTCTGACGGCGTTCAAGAAACTCGAAAGTCAAGCGCCATTCTCAAAGATGTCAGCACACGAGGGACTTTCCCAAGGTGATGCCGACTGTTTGTCGTCGAAATCAACGCCAAAGAAACCATCCTTTAAATTGGAGGAAGTGTACAAGCGGTGTTTTGGAGAAGCGCCACCTATCTGCCATACAGCAGCAGACGATTGTTTGACCTTGCTCAAGGTTGTGAGAGAATTCTCTCCGGGGTTCTTGGAGTGGGCAGACGACCAATCGAATTTTTTCAGACATATCTCTCCAATGTACTAACGTATATATTGATACACGCAGGTATAATCCCTTAACTTTAGTTAATCTTTAATCTTAATATTTTAATTCTATGTCATTAAGGTAAGGAATTACCTCGTACTGTTTCATGCACGTGAAGTAACTTGTATACTGAGGACAGGCTGATGCCTCCACTGAGACCCATTCATATCCACACATTTACACATACAATACTTTTTAATTTGAAGTTTACACAATACACAGCTTTTCAATTGGACGAAAGGTCGGTCACATGACCGCGAAATTGACGTTCATAAGTGTCTTACGTTCATACAGTTTGGCCCTTACTCTATGAAGGTTCATCCTCCAATGAACTCACACAAAGTGAAAGTCAATTTTTGAATGTATTTTACATAGGTGTGTCAATAGCGCATATAAAAGCATTTGCACGTTTAAAGCTGCTAGGTGTATTCACAGGCCCTTGTGTCGTTGCTTAAATATGTCGAGATCAATTAATATTGTCAGAAATGTACTATCTTATTATATCTTAACACAAGGCCAGACAATCCGTGCAACACCGCTCTCCTGATATGGCTGCTTCTGAAGTAAAATCGCAAATCATGCATAAGAACTTCACATCTACCTTGTCTACAGCAGGGTGATTATTCTTTCAATTCCAAAACATGACACACCCAAATTCTTTAAATTCTTTATTGCTAACTGGTCATAAATGGCCGACATCAGACCCGCACAGAATTTTCTTTCTTTTTTTTTGGGGGGGGGGGGGACGCTGACATCTTGAAATGATACACGACAAGGTACTTTGTATACATTTGTGGAACGTTTATCTGGAGGGGAATCTAATAATCCGATTTCGGTTTAATCAGGCTTATGCTTTCCTCATCGTCCTACCTATTTCATATTCACGGTTTAATCATGAATAAAATACAATATAATAGCAATGTATGTCATACAATAGAATTTAATAAACAGGTCATTTTTTACAAACAAATAAGTAACAAAAGCGTGTCATCTATATGATTCAATGTTCAGAATATCAAATTATTAACAGCCGCACATATGACAGAGGACGCTGACATCTTCACACGGCACATAATTTGGAACTTTGTTTACAGTTCTGGAAAGTCCTTCAAAGAAGCTGGCCACTGTTCCCGAGAATGAAGGGAGATCACTCTGCATGGCCTTCAGTTTTTGTTGTTTTCTTTTCATGACGCGGTCGTTGTACGTGCTTGTTTTCTTCTCCTTCAGTTGACCAGCCAGACCTCGGAACATTCTTATGAGTTCGAGCCTCACATGGCAGGGGTAATCGTAATCCTTTCGATTGAAAAAGTTGAGTAAATCCTCAAACCCTGCCGGATTGTTCAATATTGTGTGGATGACGGTAATTTTTGTCATTTATTGGTTCATAATTTTTCTATTTAACAGGTATGTAGAAGAGATTTGCTTGTTGTATCTGTTTGCCCAAAGAGATCTGAATAATAGTTGAATAAATGTTAAACAGAATGTTTTTTTCAATCTGTAAAAATACGAAGAATAAGTTATACTGAATAGAATATGTTTAAATACTTCCTTATCATAGTGTCCATAGACAGTTATAGTGTATAACTACAAGTAAACAACTGACCCCAACTTCTTCGTTATGAGGAAGAGTTGGGAGACACCAAGTCACCGTAATATCCAGCCAGAACAAATCCTCTTCTGAAATGGAAATGAAATTAATTTTTTTGCATGTGACAATGATTTTAAAAACGAAATAATGATCATGTTGTTTGATGGAAGGATCAGTCGGTTTTATTTCTGAAACACCCCCGAATTTGTCACTTATCGAAATGAAATGTTTGCAGTTTAGATAAAGTGTTATCTCTCTTACTTACTTACACATGAATGTCGAATTCTGAGTAGCTGAGACTATTTTCATTGTACCACGCTAACATGTACGGTACATTTCTTATGTTCCCGCTCGATTTGCCGAACTCTTTGCATTGCAATGTTACATTTTCAATTGTAATTTTGTATCTTGAGTTAATGATGTAAGACGCCATTCTCCGGATATTTTCCGAATGAAATTGGGCTAGATCAAGGTGGAATAACTCTATGAGTTTGTTTACTGTTTTCTGCTATATTTCGGTGAATGTGAAAAAAATGAACGAAGTAGATTTATAGTTGCATCGGCAATATTTCAGCCATCTTCCCGAGGCAAGTCAATTTAACTGACTATAAAAGTCCAGTTTCCACCCTTGCCGAACTAGGCTGGTATGATGGAGTTATATTTTGGCTGGACTAACGAGTCTATGCATAGTCCAATCAAAATCGCGCACCGAAATCGAAATCCGGTTCGTAAAGTGTCATGCAGATTTCGGTCGACTGCAGGATTTGCAAAGCATGTGCACCGCTTACTCGTTGTCAACAGATATTTTCTAAATCTTTTCATGTTTTCAATCAAGATGCTCACGTGATTTGATGCACCTCGTGATGTAAGACACGTTTTATCACAATATAGATCTTGATTATCGATCAGATCGTCTTGACAGGGCGCCACCGTTTTGTTTGATGCAAATGCAAGTGATACGAGAGGTTGAATCTGATTGGTCAATAGGAGAGGCATAGAAAGGACATAACTCGTAATAGCCACTGGTGGCGCTACGGTCGAGCCCAGGAATTCCAGCCTAGTTCGGCAAGGGTGGAAACTGGACTTTTAGAGTCAGTTGACTCTCTTGCCTCGGGAAGATGTATTTCAGCCATATCGTGACTAAGGTATTCTTACGGATTCGGATCAAAGAATGCATGCATAAGACATACCTGTAGTGTTATGTTAGTGTGCCGTAATATACATTCGTTGTCCACCGATCCAGGGATGGACTCTGCGAGAGGAACGTACACAGTTTTCTGATGTCTTTATATGCAGGTTCATTGGTGTTTTTAGTTGAAAACGACTACAAATAATATATTGCAGTGTTATTTTAATCACACATAAACTATTTTGTTCTCAGTAATTAAACATAAGACTTCCTGAGAGAATGTTCGGTCATGATTTCGTCAAGCCTGGAGAAAAAGACTGGTTATGCCTGCGCCCTCTTTTGGCATATTGTGGTAACCACATCAAGAGGAATCACTCTTAAGTTGGCAGTTAAGGAGTCAATGAACATATGCTAGTATGATGATGTTTAGCTCTGTGTATGTTCATAGTGCATTTGTAAATATTGTGAGAGAATAAATTATCATTTGCAAAGTACTCATTGTAATATTCATACAATCATATTTCCAATGGTAGCAGGTTTTGTTGAAAATGTACATAGTTTAGGATCGTTTAGGTGCTTGCTTCCATTTTATTTTTGGGATGCCTGGTTGTCCGTCTGATGGGAAATAATGTCCTCGGTCAGGGCCTTGCCCCCGACATCATCATTGATAACGTCTGCCTCAGCAGGTGAAGTGACATCATTGTCTACAACCATCTTCCCGAGGCAAAGGCGTTAACTGACTAAAGAAGCAAGTTTCCACACTTGCCGAACTTGGCTGGAATTTCTGGGCTCGATCGTAGCGCCACTAGTGGCTATTACGAGTTACGTCCCTCCTATTGACCAATCACATTCCACCCCATCAAATCACGATCTAATCGATAATCGTTATATATAAACGGGTCTTACTTCGCGAAGTGCATCAAATCACGTGAGCACCTTAATTAAAAACATGAAATGATTTGGAAAATATCTGTTGACCCCGAGTTGGCGGTACACGTGCTTTTATTCAAATCCTGCAAGCGACCGATAGTTACGGGATTAACGACTAAATCCATACAATCTAGACCATCTATTAGCCATTCCAAAATGTTCTTTTGTTCAGGTTTCATATTTTTAACTGAGAATTTGTCAAAATATGTTTCGAAGCGTAGTCGCCAATTTGAAAGTAGTGCCGTAAAGCCCGAGAAATCTGCCTTCTGATTGGCTAATGTCGACTTCTTGTCAGTCACTGGTCGGTCAAAGTTCGCGCAAGGTCGGTCTGACGTGACCCGTAATGGGGTGTCCCCAGATCTTTGTTTAGGGGTATCGAGAACCAAGATCTAATTTTAATGAGATTGACTTCGTTGCGCGATTTTGATTGGCCTGTGAATAGACTCGTTAGTCCAGCCAAAACATAACCCCATAATGCCATGCAACCAAGATCGGCAAGGGCGGAAACTGGATTTTTATATTTTTAATTAACTCCCTTGCCTCGGTAAGATGGTCCACAACTGACACACTTGAGTCGATAACAGAAGAAGTACATGGGATTACCTGAAAACTGATTCCTGAAGTTGTTTCTTTGTTTCTTACTAACGCCACACTCAGAAATATGTTCCAGACTATCTCCTAAAGTTAGGTGAAACAGTCGGGTCACAAATGTAGGTAGACACCCTGCCTGGACAAGGTGTTATCTCCACAAGGCTATATCTCTGAAAAACATGAATTTACGACACCAATTTTCGATCTCATTTGAGATAAAGATCAGTGTGTAAAATTTCATTGGGCGGTCGGGTAGCCTAGTGGTTAAGCGTTCGCTCGTCACGCCGAAAACCCGGGTTCGATTCCCGACATGGGTACAACGTGTGAAGCCCATTTCTGGTGTCCCCCGCCGTGATATTGCTGGAATATGGCTAAAAGCGGCGTAAAATCAAACTCACTCACACTTAAAGACCCGTGAAGATTCCGGGGTAGAATAGGTCTTCAGCAACCCATGCTTGCCGTAAAAGGTGACTACGCTTGTCGTAAAAGGCGACTAACGGGATCGGGTGGTCAGGCTCGCTGACTTGGCTGATACAATTGCGTGGATCGATGCTCATGAGATCAATCACTGGATTGTCTGGTTCAGACTCGATTATTTACAGACCGCCGTCATATTGCTGGAATATTGCTGAGTGCGGTGTTAAACAACCAACCAACCAACCGCACTTAAATGGTTTTTGAGAAAATGTGTCCCCTTTGACGGAAGGAAGGACGGGCGGACGGACGAACTCCGTTTCTATATTCCCCGCCCAATTTCACGGCGGGGAATAATAAACTACAAAACGTCGTCCACACAGCTCGCATTGTCCCACATTTTGACCCCGAATCTGGGTCACTAGCTATCAATGTCACAGGGCACAGGGAAGGCCAAAGGTCGATGGTGTTACAAAATGGCGCACATGTTCAATGCAGGGATAGAGCTAACCTTCACAGGTGACAACATTGCTATTTTACGAATGCGAAATGGGGAAAACAGAATTGACAGAATATTCACAGAAGCTTTCAACAAAGCGCTGGATACAGTAGAAAGGTAGGACACCTGTCGTGTTGCCCGAGTGAGTACACTCAGTATTTTCACACCGAAGTATTTCAACATATCACGTGACGTATATTCTATCTTAAGCATCGCATTTCATCGTATCCCAATGGCTTGGATCGATGCGCATGATGTCAAACACTGGATTGTCTGGTCCAGACTCAATTATTGACAGACCGCGGTCATACAGAAGAATATTGCTTGAGTGCGGCGTTAAATAACAAACAAACTAGGATGTATATTCTTAACCGGAATCCTCATGGCGGAGATGTGCTCATACCAATAATTTATAATTATTATTTTTTTATGTATAGGAATTCCGACTGTCGGGCCCTGATAACCACAGCGGAAGGGAAGTTTTACAGCAATGGCCTGAATCTCGACTTTCTGAAGGGGAAAGAACGCTACTTGTTTGGTCTCTTATGTTTGCGTGTGTTGACGTTCCCCGTCGTCACTGTCGCCGCTATTAACGGTGAACAATTACCTCACTGTTCTCTATCAACAATCAGCGTACAGTAAGGAAATCACACAAGTAACTGGATAGCGTTATCGTTTGTAACGAATTTGTTTGTTACCCAATTAAAATTCAGCATCAAAGTAACAAAATATTGCGTGATCAGATTTAATGTACAGCCTGAAAAAATAAAAAATCAATAAGTAAACGAAAATATATACAACCCAATTTCGCTGCATGGGAACATTCGTAATACATGAGAATATTTAATTTCACGCTTCAATATCTGTGCTGCATTTAAACTAGCTCGTGTATTCGTACTGGACGGGCATTTTGTCCGATTTTATATCGTTGTTGCTCGTACATTCGTATTGCACGTACAGTTTCTGCGATTTGATCGCTGTTGCCATTACATTCGTAATGCACGTGCTTAAAATACATGTATTAGCTTAAAGTTTACATAGCAGAAAGTAGGTCAGTTAACTGTCAAATCGTATTTTATCGTGTATTGCCACACATACTTGAATATTCATGGCAAATCGATATTACGTAGCATTTATTTCATAATATCAATAAATGACTGAAATTGACCCCCAACCATAACTGAGAAAGATATACTATCGCTTAATATATCCTTCCGCGGTGAGGCGGTGAAACGTCCGTTTAACCAATTAGACTGGAAAGTAAAAAATATATTTTATGACAAATATTCCTAAATAATATGTCCTCTCGAATCATAAAAGCTTGTTCTACTGTCCTGTTTTGTTTTAATCTCTAACATATCCCAAGTGTGCGAACACATTTGATTTTGAATAATATATTTCCTCGAAGGTCACGCGTTTGCTGGTGGCGCGCTGTTGGCCTTGTATCACGACTTCCGGGTCATGCAGACCAAGCGCGGGTGGATCTCACTTAACGAAGTCTTCATCAAGGCCCCACTTTCTGGAAGCATGCCATTGATCAGGTACGTTAATGCCTGTTCTTGATATGTATTTGTGATCAAATATTACATTTACCTCAAAACTATTTCGCCCGAGGAAGTGACAGTTTCAGGCCCAACTAAATAACGTCCGGGAGCGTCCGGAAACGCCCGGAAGCGTTCGGGAACGTCCAGGAGAATGATACTAAATAATAATGAATATTCTATATAATTTTTAAACAAACGTGTCTGTAATTACCATTAGGTTCGTTTTTTGGATAAAAAAACCCTTCCGACCTATGAAATATTTCTTACCTTGTTACTTGTACTTAGTAGTTTGGTTTCCCTTCGCTGTGATTTATTTCTTTGTGCGCCATTAACACTGGATATTCTCACGATCGTACCAAACTTAGAAAGACATGTTTTACTGACTGACTGCACTGCAATATTTAACCCCCAGACGTCTGATGAAACCTCCCGGACGTTCCCGGGCGTTAAGTAGTTGGCCCTGATAATTTCTACCGGAACTACTTTTAGTCAGCCTCAGTGGCACTATGGGTTTTTCGAGTAAGTTTATGGGCTGATCGTTATACAAATACGTAATAAATATAATGTTACTGTTGAAAATATAAACTTTGACAGATATCGCGATGTAGTAAATATGTTATTGACAAGAAAAACCAACTATCCTATGTACATCTATAGCTGAATGTATAAGCCATATGATTCTTTGTTTGGTTCAAACGCAAGTGCTACAATTATGACTTTAATTGTACACATAACAACAAGTAGACCCTAGTTGGGTAGTACAGGCATATGTAATTACAATTTCAATATTTAATTGACTGTGTGAATGTTGTTTAACGCGTCAATCAGCAGTGTTCCATCCACACTCGGGTGTTCGAGTTTGGGCCAGACAACCCAGTGATTGCCGTGAAGTTAGAGGATATTTCGACGCAGTGGTAACTGCGAGTTTTGTAATTGGTGTCAAGCAATGTCATTTCTGGGCTAAGCGGTGTTCCTTTTCTAAGATCGACATTTCCGAATCGAGGTGGTAAAGAAAAAAGCTGTAACGTTAGGAAAGCTGACACCTGATTGGCTCAAGAACCAATGCATTCCTGCTTTAGATTGGGCGGTCAAAGTTTGGGTATATTTGAGCGATGTATATTTGAGGTGTCCTCAGATCTTCATGCTGAGGTATCGTGTCAGAGTATGTAACATCATGTCAATAACCCTCTTGCTTCCAGAGCTAAACTATCAGGTCGGGCCAGTCACGATCTTGCTGTCTTGGGCAAGAGGTACACAGCGGAAGAAGCAAGGGATTATGGGATTGTAGATGTGGCCTCTTCACCGGAAGACCTGATGTCGTCTGCAAGGTCACTGGTCAATCAATACACGTCGAAACAGAAATATGACAGAGACACCCTAAAGGCCTTTAAGGAGGACTTGTACAGAGAGGTTGTTGACGCTTATTCCTCGCTCATGAAGTCAAGATTGTAATAGATCTAGCACATTGTGTGTGTGATTCTGACTATGATTATGTTTATATACAGAGGTACTGAATGCAAATTCATTCGTACTATTGCAAGGAAAGCATATTCCCGGGTCAAGGGGGTTAATTGACTACGAAAGTCCAGTTAACTCCCTTGAAAATGCAATGAAAGTGATTTGGAAGTGATCAAACAAGAACATTGTGTTCCATTACAAGTACAAGAACTCTGTTAAACAGGTATTAATTCTCCATGGAGAATATTGAATGTGAGCCCCTCGTCCACAGTGGGTATTAAACCTCCACGGAGAATATTGAATGTGAGCCCCTCGTCCACAGTGGGTATTAAACCTCGATGAAGAATATTGAATGTGAGCCCCTCGTCCACAGTGGGTATTAAACCTCCATGGAGAATATTGAATGTGAGCCCCTCGTCCACAGTGGGTATTAAACCTCCATGGAGAATATTGAATGTGAGCCCCTCGTCCACAGTGGGTATTAAACCTCCATGGAGACTATTGAATGTGGGCCCCTCACTTGAAATTTCAAGATAATGAGCAACCTCGAAATGAGTTAGTATCTTGAATTTTCAAGTACGTATCTTGAAATTTCAAGTTATGTATCTTGATATTTCAACATAGCATCTTGACATTTAAAAAACAAAAACAAACAAATGGCCCTAAAAGGCTTGTATGAGTGTCCATGCATTCTTTTTAAATCGGCAGTATTAATTCAGCTCTCTTTTTTTAAGAGAATATGGTTTCAACAGCCGATCGGTAATCATCATACAATAATGTGATTACATATATTATACAGAAGTCACTGCTATATATTATATGCAGTCCCTCTCAATGCAAACTAATGTAATAAATTGGATAAAATTATGTTATTATATTTTGATTTATGTTAAATTAAATTTCAAAACTCCAAACTGAGAATACAGGCTCAGCATAATAACATTTATAATTTGCAGCCACGACGGTCTTGTACAGACAATGTACCTCTCTGTGAGCAAGTGAGAATAAAACAATTACATCGCAATGGCAGTTTTGCAGCAACATCGCTGTCCCCAGATGACAGTAAAATGGTAGAGAAACTATCCCGGTTTGAGTATAAAACAAACCAGATCAAATTTAAAACACATCATTATTCAATAGGCTAAGTAGTATCAACTAACACGTGAAAATTAGTTAGAACCCATACTTGTCGTAAGAGGCGACAAACGGGATCGGGTGGTTAGGCTCGCTGATTTGGTTGAGGGATGTCATCGTATCCCAATTGCGTGGATTGATGTTCATGAGATCAATCACTGGATTATTTGGTCCAGACTCGATTATTTACAGACCGACTTCGAAAAGCTGGAATATTGCGGAGTGTGGCGTTATACAAACAAACAAAACAAACAAAGTAGTATCAACTATAAACAAGCTATAGACCACCAGCAACGAAGACAAGGTCACCTTACTGGGATACATGGGGACTTACAGTGCCTCTGCTTCCTGCAAGATTCCCGGCCCCAGCCGGATGTATGCCATCACTTCGGATATCAGTGGTTGTACTTCTCATATCAAGGTATGTAGAGCCAGGGAGGGATTTTGGTTCGACATGGCTTTGAACAGCCGGTTAATTATATCCCAGTGTGTCAGCTTGATGTGGGAGGAAACCCGAAGTGATGCGGGTCTTAAAAGTTTATCCACTTTGATGAAATCCACGAAGCATAATCAGGGCGAATCTGGCTTTCGAATCCACGACCATGGGTTCTGGTACACCTTTGAGTTCGATCACCGGTTGTGTCATACCAAACGACGAATATATGGTACTTGTTGTTTCCCTGCCTTCCGCTCGGCATTAAGGGGATAAAGCGAAGACTGGTCGGCTTGGAGTCAGTGTTCTGTCTTTGAGTTGGACGTGCGTTAAAACTGCAGCATGGTATCTCAGTGGGCTAGCACTATAAAACCAGCATTAGTCCGGACAAGTACAAGCAACCAAACGCACATATGCACGTTAGCATTATAAATGCAATAATCTTGAACGCGACGCTTAACCCCATTTTACCTCACCTCACCTCACCGGGTCATATCACAATTAAAAGACAGATGAAACAAAGAGATTGAGAGCGAGAGGGTTTGGTTTAACAGTATCCATCTTCCCTAGGCAAGAGAGTTAACTGACTTTAAAAGTCCAGTTTCCACCCTTGCCGAACTTGGTTGGAATTCCTGGGCTCGATCGTAGCGCCACCAGTGGTTATTACGAGTTATGTCCCTTCTAAGCCTCTCCTATGGACCAATCAGATTCCATCACTTGTATTTGTTTCAAACAAAACGGTGGCGCCCAGTCAAGACGATCTGATCGATAATCAAGATCTATGTTGTGACACGGACGTATATACATATGGCTATATATATTCTATATACGTCTTTGGTTGTGATAAAACGAGTCTTACATCGCGAAGTGCATGAAATCACGCGAGCAACTTTTTTTAAAAACATGAAAATGTTTGGAAAATATCTGTTGACAACGAGTTGGCGGTGCACATGCTTTGCCAATCCTGCAATCAACCGAAATCTGCGCGACAGTTTACGAACCGGATTTCGATTTCGTTGCGCGATTTTGATTGGACTATGCATAGACTCGTTAGTCAAGCCACATTCTTACTCCATAATACCAGCCTAGTTCGGAAAGGGCGGAAACTGGACTTCATAGTCAGTTAACTCACTTGCCTCGGGAAGATGTTAAGTTACATCATGGCGTGTCAGATTCATGTGGGAGGAAATCCCAAAGTTGCATAGGTGATGGACGTTTACAAGCGCGGGTAATGTTCTGACAAAAGAAACATAATTCGTTTCGAACCCACGGTCACACCGAAAGGACGCAACTCTCGACATAGACAACTGAGCCACCCGTGTCCCACATTGCCACTACCATGGGACAATTACAAAACACGTTATTACATAATATATTCAGTTTCTGTTTCTCAACATGAGATGAAACAAAACCAAAGTTTAGATGGAATTAATTTTTTATGCGATTTTTGAATGTCTTCTTTATGTGTACCTCCTCTGTGGTCTAGTGGTACAGCGTACGCCCGGAGAGCGGAAGGTCCCGGGTTCAATGCCCGGCCGCGTCATACCAAAAGACGTTAAAAGATGGTTCTTGTTGTTACCCTGTTTGGCGCTCGGCATGGGGCTAAAACAATGAGTGTATGGGGCTAAAACAATGAGTGTGCGCTCGGAGTCGGTATATCATGTCTGAGTGGGTATTCATGTTAAACTGCGGCATGGTATCTCAGTGGGCTAGCACTATAAATCGGCATCAGTCCGGACTAGTACAAGCAGCCACACGCACACACGTGCATGCACGTCGCTTTTAAAGTGCAATAATCTTGGACGCGACGTTAAACCCAATTTCACGTCACCTCTTTTTTTGGAATAATATTGTCAGCGGTGCTTAACTTTTTTCCAGGACTATATTATTTAATTTTATTGACAAAGCGTTACTCTCTATTCAGGCCATCTGAATGGAAAAGAGAGGATTCTATGTACTAGAACTACGGGGACTACGGGTCGTCCTGTCAGAAAATGATATGGCGCTATGTATGGTAAATGGGGTGGGTGGTTCGCTCAATCATTGTATTCAGTAGCGGTTAATCTGATACATGAAATAACTTTTTAAACAGGTTATTTTCAGAATGATAGTATATGATATCTTACCACTGATACAGGCGGGTTAGAATAGGTCTTCAGCCACCCACGCTTGTCGTAATAGGCGACTGGTCAGACTTGCTGACTAAGGTGATGCATGTCGTCGTATCCCAAATGCGTGTATCGATGCTCATGATTTCAGTCACTGGATTGTCTCGTCCAAACTCGATTAGTTACAAACCGCTGCTTTATACTTTCAAGTGAGATATTATTTTTTTTCACATTAAAATTAACTCCATAACGTGAATCGAACCTGCAACCTCTTATATGGTGTTCAGTATTGCAACCAACTGTTTTCCTATGTCTAATCTTCAGTTGTAAGCATGATGCATGTGGTCTTTCTCTCGCAAGCTTTCTGTCGAATTCCCTTTATACTGCGACGCACTGTATTGTTTCACTACAAGGTATCCCGATGTTGTCTTATTCTTTCTAGTATTTCTTGCATTCAGACGGTTCATAACTCGGATAACAACACTCCTCCCTTTGGAGTTAAAATGTAAACCCCCGAGGTAGGGAGATGTCCGGAAGACCGAAAGCTTCTGACCCTCGGGCTTTTCCCTCGCTCTCTGTTTTACGTTTTCAACCCAAACCTCGGAGTCGTGTTTTATCCTTAACATAAGTTTTGGGATATTTTGCATCATAGGTGGGTGCACGGCTATCTGGAGGGGAATCTAATAATCCGATTTCGGTTTAATCAGGCTTATGCTTTCCTCACCGTCCTACATATTTCATATTCACGGTTTTATCATGAAAAACATACAATATAATATCCATGTATGTCATACAATAGAATTTAATAAACCGGTCATTTTTTTACAAACAAATAAGTAACAAAAGTGTGTCATCTATATGATTCAATGTTCAGAATATCAAATTATTAACAGCCGCACATATGACAGAGGACGCTGACATCTTCACACGGCACATAATTTGGAACTTTGTTTACAGTTCTGGAAAGTCCTTCAAAGAAGCTGGCCACTGTTCCCGAGGATGAAGGGAGATCACTCTGCATGGCCTTCAGTTTTTGTTGTTTTCTTTTCATGACGCGGTCGTTGTACGTGCTTGTTTTCTTCTCCTTCAGTTGACCAGCCAGACCTCGGAACATTCTTATGAGTTCGAGCCTCACATGGCAGGGGTAATCGTAATCCTTTCGATTGAAAAAGTTGAGTAAATCCTCAAATCCTGCCGGACTTTTCAACAGCTGTGAATGGAATGTAGAAACTGTTTAGTTTGTGTGGGTTAAACTGACTTCCGTTATTTATATTACATTATTCAGAGATGTTCATAAATGACCATTTCTCTTACACTTCTCATTTTCACCTGCGACAAGTCAAATTACATTCGTGACCAACTCATGTTATTCTGGGTTCAGTGTTGCGATTTGGATTCGTCTAAGCGCAAACTGCTTGTCGTAAAAGGCAACTAACGGGATCGGGTGGTCAGGCTCGCTGACTTGGTTGATGCATGACATCGATCCCAATTGCGTGGAACGATGCTCATGATATCAATCACTGGATTGTCTGGTCCAGACTCGATTATTTACAGACCGCCGTCATATAGCTGAAATATTGCTGAGTGCGGCGTTTAACAACAAACCAAAGCGCAAACGGGTGTAGTTAAAAGAATTGTCAACTCGTTGCATAACAATTTACGTATATTTCTCCAATGTCATATATATTCCAGATGCTATTTAACACACATCGGGACTTACGGTATTTATACAGTATGATTGAACACATGTTACTGTATCGGGTATATTTGTAGATTCAAGACATGGGTAAAATCAAAAACTATTCCTGAGGGATTCTTTGATGGAAGTAATTGAAGTCATACGCGCACTCTGATTGGTTTGTCGTATTTTCGCACATAAAATTCGTCGATACGGGGACGAGTCTTCTTGCAGGTAACGGAAAGAGTCGAGTGGTGACGAATGGTCAAATTTGTGCGCTTTTATTTCTATACGCATTCGCCACAACTCGCATGTTTCCGTAACCCACAATCGGCTTGTCCCGGAATACGACGAGTTGGTCACGAGTGATTTCTTCGATCAGTGGACCTCACGTTACGCTCTTTGTAACCTGACAACTAAACCTCGCCTCACCATGAACTTTTTATATCTGATTCCTTTCATAACTAGAGAAAAATATTTATTACAACTTGTACCTACCGGTACATAGAGAAATAAAATAAAAAGTATAAATTTTCATCTGATTTAGAATAATACAATAGGCCCCTACCTTCTTCGTTATAAGGAAGAGTTGGGAGATACCAAGTCTGTCAATGATTCCTGAACTTCCTGGGAGTGACTTCAGAGTTTGGTAAAACCCACCCAGAACAAAATCCTCTTCTGAAACACAAATATGGTTTTTATTCTAAAACCCATACAGGCTTTTCTCTAGTGTTCAGTACCACACAATTGACAAACACGTCACAATACCCTGTGATGGAATGTGTGAAGTTGTCTAAACCCCGTTACTAGACTGTAATAGCAGAGACAGAGTGCACATAGAGTGACATTTATTTCAGTTATTTTATATAATGATTATTTGACCAGACGGCAGCTTGTCTGCTAGTGGAACTTACGGAGTTTTCTGATGGCTGACAGGTTCATTGTTGATCACTAAACGAGTTGACACTCAGTAAAATGTTAGCGAGACTGCAGTCACGAACGACACAGGACGTTGTGGTGATTGTCTTGTGGTTGTCGAATGCAGGTGACGTCATTACTCTATGAAGTCATAAACGCTGTCACGTGATTACAGCTAACACTCGAGGCTCCTCAATGCGATATCTCGTTCGCGGAGCTCTGATATATTTTCTCGTTATACAGGTGACCGATCAGCGCTAAGAAACCTCATGTTCCAGTCGGTTGGGATCAGCTCACCAGGGTAAGGCTTGAGGGAGCCAAGAGTCTCAGAGCACTTTCTCCTACACCTGCCAAAAGATTTGATCTTAGATCATTTGTTATTGAATGGTGGCACAACAAGCAGGACATTTTGGAAGTATTTCATCTTGACTGGACTCGACCTTCCAACATTATTTGTTCACATTAAACCAATCAAATTATCAGTATTGTCACAATTTCATGCCATATGCCTTTGTATTTCATTTAGACATATTTATGAAAACGAAAATATTTAGATAGCCAACAGAGACATTTTATGAAGGCAAAGAAAAATTATATTTCTTTATGATATAACAACTTGTATTTCACCTCAATGTCAGGATTCTAATACAGAAAGTCTAGTATTAAAACTTTTGACTGCTCGTTAGCTTTGTAACAATGCCATCCGATATGTGTATATAATACACCGACACTGTATATTCGTTTTCACAGCAGGCATACAAGGCTTTGTTCAGCCCAAAGTCAATTAGACAGCCAGGGACGCTATACTTCTACAAAGCCAAGTTTAACATGACAAATGTTAATGGGAATATTAAGAGGAATTTTCAATCTCATCATGGCCTACTTGTTCATGTTGGAAAAGCGGTTCTTGTGGAACAGGCACGTGAATACTTTGGTATCACTGATGACAACACAGGTTTGAAGAATATTCCTGTTGTCATCAACCTATCTTTGGAAGAGAAGACCACATCGTCAGAGGCAGTTTTAAGAGCTTTTCTTGTCGACTATGGATACCTTGATTTTACGTTCAAGGATTCTTGTGAAAAAATGTCCATGATGTTTCATGTAAATGCTGTTGGTACAGTGGTGGAAGAAAAGTCTCAGTTTGAACCTGATGAATTCTACATTTATTGCCAGCAACTATCCCACTGGGCTCTCCATTTAATGGAGCTTGATGACACAGCCAAAGAGGGAGACAGTGATAAACTAATCCATAATGCCAAGATGAACATTCCATTCTTTTTTGCCCATTCTTCACAGAGTAAATATTTTGTGGAGAACATTGACTTTCTCATTAAAGTCTGCTTCTTGCTCTCTCCGATGATGAAAGAACTTGTCCTTGACACAGCTTGTCCTTGACAACACCAAGGGAGGAATTTCAAATTGTGTTGAGGCTGACCTAGCGCTGGTCAGAATAAAGAATCAGAAGGCGCTCAGACAACTTGGTGCCAACAAGACCAAAAACGCCATAACAGGTGCAGCAAGTGCAATATTCAAAGTTTGTGACAATCTGAGGATATCTCTTGGTGTCAAACGACAGTCAACCAGACATTCCAAACGGATTTGTATTTCTCAGAGTCAATTAAAAAAATCACTAAATGAATTGAGGCCATTTCATTATTGTGCAGGAAGAAAGTGTCATGGGTTTAAGGTCATTGTATCATCCCCGTTCAGAAAGTTCACAAAATGTAGTCTTCCTCAGAGTCCAAGATAATGTGTTCAGAGTGATGAAAGGTGATGATATTGACATGGATGACAGGTGTAATCAGTCTGATGATACCGGTGATTCGGTTGCTGCTGATGATGATGGCGATAGTGATGATGAACTTCCACCTGTGTAGTTATTGTCAAAATATTATACTGTGTATTTAGTGTGACAAAAATGTTATCAGCGGTAGAAACTAACATGTTTAGTCCACTAGTCCTGATAATGATAATGATATAGCAAAACCCTTTAAAATGGAGATTTTCTACTCGTCCTTATGATACCTTAACTATTGGGCAGTTTGGCAAGGACTACATGACTAGTGACAATTTCTAACGCTGGTTATACTAATCCCTAATGATAGTGATGAGTGACTTCCACCTATGCAGATAGAGGAAAAGTTTGAAAACGTTTGCCAAAACTAGGTGTTGAAGGTAAGAAAGTAATAACATTGTTGCAGACTTCAATTAAATTTCCCTAAGACCACAGGACTGACTACTTGAAAATCTTACCAGTCCTTGTCAAAAGTTGTCAGTCTAAAATAGAAGATGAAATTCACTTTTTGCTTGTATGTATTAGATTGTTTTCTATTAAAAAAGGTACACCCCTTTCAAGCATCTTAGTCTTCATAAATTTATCCTAAACATAATGATCTAATGTATAACTTATCCTTGTATATCGACACTTATATTTTATTTTAGGTTCTGAAGTGTTGCGATCCCAGCAATATGACAAACTTGAAACAATCCATCTGTTAGCCTGTAAAAATGCAATTGCATGAGACAAGTCACTTGAAATGATTAAAGAATTAATTACGTCATAAATATGATTGTATGTAACAATGAAAGACATGTAACAAACCTATGGCCTAACAGCAGTGAACAACCAATAGAAGAAGTGAATACTATTTTATGCATATGAGCCTTAATAGAAAGGCTGTCTTGGAACTAGAGGATAACTGAAAATATCAATATCACATTTTATATTATAAAATTGTCATCTTTAAGAATACGTCTATATTTCACAGAAATAATTTGAAAGATTTTAAGCTGTGATTTCAGTGGACATATTGTACCAACATATCTCTTGGTTGTGAAAAATTATTAATGCTAAAATGTACTCTATATTTAGGAGAGAGACATACTATGTTTTCAATGTAGAGCTAGGTTACCTGTAGATAATGGCGCAAAATTGAAGTGGAACCCAATGCGCATCTCGACATTGAAAACACAGTATGTTTATCTCCATTCTACAATGACTAAATAAAACGCGAACTCTTTGGTGTTAGCAAATATATTGAGTTAAGCAGCATGAGTTGAGTCCACTGTTTTGAGTGGGTTGGCGATCTGAATTACGGAATCACCGAAAGATATGACGTCACATTCCAAAGTCTGTTGTCCCCAAAACTTAAATACAATTCTCTTTGAACATTTATATCATGTTGGTTTTTTTACAAAATGTATTGCCACACATCCTTTGAATATTGTAGTAACCGCAATTTTGCATTTTGTAATCTATAATTGTAGATGTAATTATTTAAATATGCTTACCGATGATAGGCTCTTTTTAGTAGAAGGGGTTCATTGTGATTTGACAACCTATGATTGACCAATCTGAATCGAGTAATTTAAAAATACATGGTAGAATTTCTGTTCTCTTGCTTTAGAGAAAGGTATTGTTAAACTTATTATCAATTGCAAATTAACTGATTCAATTTCATCTATATAAAAAAATCACAAACTGGCCAAGTTAGGCTTTATATCTGCCCAAGAACAACAGCAGTGTTAACAGAACATTATGCTAACAGATCTGTTCTGTATGCAAATCTTATTTAAGTGGATTGAAATGTGTGATAGCCAAAAGCTACACTATAATTCCATGATTTAGTAACATTTTCTCACATAATGTTACTGAAGTATATGTACCACATTCTTACATTATTCTACCATGAGGATAGAAGTCCAGTGAAGTACATATTTTGTTTACGATAAAATGCTCACGTGGTCTAGTGGTAGAGCGTCCGCCCGGAGAGCGGAAGGTCCGGGGTTTGATCCCCGTCCACGTCATACCAAAGACGTTAAAAGATGGTAATTGTTGTTACCCTGTCTGGCGCTCGGCATTAAGGGGCTAAAACAAGGACTGGTTGGCTCGGAGTCAGTATACTGTGTCTGAGTGGGTTAAACTACGTCATGGTATCTCAGTGAGCTAGCACTATAAATCGGCATCAGTCCGGACTAATACATGCAGCATCACGCACACACATGCATGCATGTCGCTATATAAGTGCAATAATCCTGGACGTGACGTTACACCTCACCTCACAAAAGTGTAACAGGTCTGCCGTTGTCAGAACATGGCAGATTCCGTATCACTATGGACTTTCTGAATGGTCAATCACCTTGTGAAACCAGATGTTGAGAATAGTCGCATGCACATCGCTATATAAGTGCAATAATCCTTAACGTTAAACCCAAGTTCACCTCACCTCACCTAATAATGGAAAATATTGGCCAAATGTTGGCCAATGTTTGACAATAGGGCCATGTTGTTGACAGGACCAACATGAAATTACTGTGCAAAATTACATCGGACCAACACTATCTTCCAACATTGATCCAATATCTTTGTGTTTGCTTGGTTCTTTTTCCGCTTTACATATATTAACATGGCTATATTATTATAAAGGAGGTCAAAGATATATCACATAGCTACAATAATGGTGTGTAACTATGTTTGAGAGTTGCAGAAATGTTGAGCACATCCGTTTTCTTCAGATTAATTACAGCATGAGCTACATTTACAGCAGAAGCGACATTTAACGCAGCACCTACATCCTTTTGGACTTGTCATTTTGTTCAAATCCAAACACATTTGACATAAATGTTCTCATACATGATGTTGTTTTGCAGTATTCTTTGATATCCTGTTGTATGCCTGGCAGATTGGCTTTAATGTCATTGTTATCAAAATAAGAAGGGGCTTCAGCTTGCCGATTTCTCCGCCCAGCTCTGCCGATTTCCTGAGGTGGTGAGGTGAAATGGGGTTTAACGTCGCGTCCAAGATTATTGCACTTATATAGCGACGTGCATGTTTGTGTGTGTGTGTGTATGTGTTGCTGCCTGTACTAGTCCGGACTGATGCAGATTTATAGTGCTAGCTCACTGAGATACCATGCCGCAGTTTAACATGAATACCCCACTCAGACACAGTATACTGACTCCGACTCCGAGCCGACCAGTCCTTGTTTTAGCCCCTTAATGCCGAGCGCCAGACAGGGTAACAACAAGTACCATGTTTTAACGTCTTTTGGTATGACGCGGTCGGGGATCGAACCCCGGACCTTCTGCTCACCGGGCGGACGCTCTACCACTAGACCACGGAGGCGGTCCCGATTTCCTGAAGATATCTGGAAATGCATCTGGGCGGGCAGTGAATGACTCTTGTTATGTTCACAGTGTCAAAACCCATACCAGCACTAGATGTTGCTAATATTAGTCTAATTCTGGGGTCTGGTCAGTAATTTCCTTGTCTTGGGTAGAATATAAACATGAATACCCTGATGCATGAATTGTTTGTTAACCAAACATTTGGGTTATGTAGCGAACTGCTTCATCCATGCATTTCAAAGGCAGAAACATGAGGGTCACTGGGTACAGATCAGGATTGGCATACAATTTGTCAATTTCTGGTACATCAATATTTTCAAATACTCCAACATCTCCACACTCATAAATACTATCCTTGCATATTTTGGAAAAGTAGATGTTTGGGCGATCCGGCACTTCCTGGATTATTGCAGGATCAACCATTCCAAGAACTGAAGGAAGTCTTGGCAGTTGTAGAACAGTCAAAGTTCCACTCAAACCAATGAACATGGCATTGGTGAATATGGCTGGCAAATTCTTCAGGGAATGATACCCTGTATTAGAAGATTAATAATGTTAACTTTTTATGCTGTCCCTTTATGGCAAAAGACAAATAACACAACTGAAATATGTTTAAGTCAAATTAATAAAGAAGGTAAAATTATGGTTCATGTACTAGGACAGACTCTTATTACTTTATGAGTATTTTAATTGTAACTTCATTACAATGAGAATAAATGTGTTTAAAGTCCATTATTATGTTTGTTATATTTTAACATTAACATGTTTGGTTATCTTGCTATTACTTAGAGTTGATAAATATTTAATCAAACAAATCATTGTTACTTGACATTCTTCAACAACATGACTCTCACCAATGAACACTGCCTTGATTTCTTTGGTACAGAATGCGGTGTCTCTTAACTCATTCATCCCTCTTAAGAGTCCCTCTGGATGACACATGATGATGTTGAAGTTTGATGACAAGACATCTGCCATACAACTCTCTCCATGAACAGTGCACACCTGGAAATATTTCTATAGATTAACTTAGGCAACATCTTTATAATATTCGGTAATTCGGTGAACATACTCGTATGTATTTTTGGCATGTGCGTTTTTATGGTTTGGAAATCAAGACGGTTAGGATATTTAAATATTGTAGGTTATGCATGTACATCATGCTGTCATAATATTGTTACAGCTGATTAGACGCCAAGGGTGAAACATGACTCGCTGTGGGGTTGTGATCGGTTTTAATCAGAGATTCAGAGATGTAGACATGTAGAAATGAATGGCCCTGAAACAATAACAGAATAGTAACGGTCATAAATTATATCAATGACACAATTATATTATCACGCCATGGGAGATAATCTCCCGCCAAATACAACGTTTTGCCCACATACTCACAATAAAACAATATTTACACATGGCGTTGCTCGGCGATCGAGTCAGAATTAACCATCGGGAATCTGGAGAAACTTCTGGGAAAATTGCTATTATTGTCAAAAGAAAACTATGATATACTAAAGCACATTGTCTGACTGTGACGTAGCTACGGCATTTTTTAATTAACAAGTTTTAGCAACTCGGGAGATATAGGCCTAATTAATGCGAAACAATTTAGCGAGGACACAAGCCTAGCACCATTAGCACGATCAGTTTCCATATCCTTACGGCTTGGAACCTTTTCCCCAAATTAAAACAGTTGGATTTAGCCGAAATATGTACGAATTGTTACCATGTTTCGTGTTGTCGCAGTGTGAGACTCTAAACAAACGTGACGTCTCACGGACTAGGGTAAGAGTAACTTCCCTTTGATTAAGGGCAGTTACTCTAGTGGACAGATTGATGGATTGCCGCGAATATTGTTTGGGCAAGTGTTGTTTTGCCTATTTGTAGTTGGGGCGGTCGGGTAGCCTAGTGGTTAAAGCGTTCGCTCGTCACGCCGAAGACCCGGGTTCGATTCCCGACATGGGTACAATGTGTGAAGCCCATTTCTGGTGTCCCCCGCCGTGATATTGCTGGAATATTGCTAAAAGCGGCGTAAAACCATACTCACTCACTCACTCACTTCTATTTGTAGTTACGCTACTGTAAAAGAAACAGGTTTGGGGTGTAACCATATTGACCGTTATCACTAACCTTCTGACGTTACATATATTAATGCGCACTTTTCAGGAAAACTTGCAATGTTCAGGTAATGTTTTTGAGAGATGGAAAGAGATTTTTCGAGCACAGAATTGAAGAATGACATTATATGAGGTTATCACGCTTGTGTGTTTGACGATGATGAATATACTATATTAGGAATATACACTATGTATTCAGCTCGCCAAGGCTGGCTAAATACAATGTTTATTCCTAATAGAGGATATTTACAATCACCAAACACACTCGCGTGATAACCTCTATGTTTTAGTTTCTAATATAAACATGTTTTAAGGCCATTAACATTCCACAATTATTTGTGTTTGTAATTGAACATGTGAATATAAATTCATTTATTTCTTGTTTTTGAAAACCAAGGTGACGTTTTCGCCTGGCAGTTGGGGTAATCTACATCTAACATGTACTTCTTACACATCCTGCTCACAATGGATATCATTCACTGTTACATTCATTTATTATTTCGATTTCTACCTGTTCTACCTTTCGACTAATTTTTGTGGTTGTTTAGATTGTTGGGTCTGTGACCTTCTTTCTCAATAACTATACTATCGACTAATGTTCCTAGTAGACAGGGGCTTCCCAATGTGTCGCCATATTTCTGTGGATGAACAATTTTTAAGTCACTTGGCACTAATTGGTGAATCACTGAAACACTGTATTACGCGTTTCTAAACCTACTTCAACCAGTGAAATTCGACATCCATGATTTTAACAATGACATTATATGATAAAGTGATTATTTCAGTATTGCCAATATCATTTAATAGGAATATAAAATATGTATTCATACTGCAACTTATTTTCCTGATATATAGTGATTATGAGGAAACAAACTTGCCTAATAATCAATATTTATTCATTATCTTAATCGTTTTCACAAAGCGGGAACAAACCTTTCATTAAGTTGCATTTTAGGTCTATTCAATGGAGCTTTCTTCTGTCAGTAAGTTATGTGAACTTAATCTCATTTAGTTTAAGCTACTACATTAGTTCAAAAGTTTTCAAAGGTCAAACTAAATCAACAAATTAGAGCCCTGCACCACTGAACAAAGATTTTCCACATTTGCTGGTTCACATCTTTTAGCCTTTGTTTGAATATTTTCTTATTCATAACTTTCTACGATAACCAAAATAAAAGGAGTGTAATCGACTCTCATCTAGCTCTATGGGGATCTGTTAAAGATAAAATCTGATGCCAGCTTCAACTACTAGTATACACAAAGAAAAATGTTACGCACACCCCTATTTCTGAACCATGACAAATGGCAAATATCATGGCATGGGATGACTGACCACAGGAGCTGGGTGATACCAATGTCATCGGATAGAACAGCTGTTTCAGACCAGTACTTGTTAAAAAGGGTTATCGGCGTATGAGACGAAGAAGGTCCCTGTCTTTGCGATGTGTCATCACAGGAGGTCTTCTGGATCTGGGACGGTCCTGTACATCACCGGTCTGAGCATGTTTCTCAACTAAACGACTTAAAACAGTGTGGTGATACCCCAAATTCCGACCAATGGCATTGCAAGACATACCATGCATGGCACGTGAGCTTTCGTCACGCATGACTGATTACATCATTTCGAGAAAACATAATTCTTCCCGTAATTATATCTTTCATGACTTACAAATATTGGGACCATACAAAAATGAAATATATTAGGGTGTGCTTAACCCTTTTCTTTGTGTATATAATACTTACATACTATACCTTCCTTGTAATATTATTTCCTAATACTACACAACAGTAATAAGCAGTTAACAAATAAGTGGCCACATGCTTGAAGTGTACTGATAGTGGGGAAAACCCATCACTCCAGAAATAGCAGTTGATCTGGTCTTCTTCCTGGGCAGTGTCCAAATTATCATGAGTGTTTTGTCACTTTGGAGGTATTAAACAAGCAGTGGCGGATCCAGAAAGGGGGGGGGGGGTCATGTCCAAGCATGATTAAAATATTGATTTGGTGTTAAAGTAAAAAAATCAATACTGGTTTACATATTGTGTGGAATTTTGTCCCCACTGAAGTAAGTGGAATTCCCCCCTTTTTAAAATCCTGGATCTGCCCCTGACAAGTGTGATTTGTTAATACTGTAACCCTGAAAGTAATGGCAGATTGATGGAGAGAATGAATGTTTTCCAATGAAACAGAAAACAGATACAATATCAATATGAAAATGTCTTTTAATGTTTTATGTGACTTTTTATCAAAAGGAAGTTGGCTATACATGGATATATTATCTATAAAAACATTCACTGTGGCGGATATAAACTGTAATTACATAAGACAGTCATGTACATTCAGAGAAGGCAAGCTAGAGGATGAAAATTCTGTTGTTCAATCCTAAATTAATATTATTCCAGCCATATAACAGCAGGCTGTATATAATTTAGTCTGGACTAGACATTCCACTGATTGATATTATAAGCAATGTCCCACGTTGTGAGGTACAAAGTCAACCAAGTCACAAAGACTACCATCAGAGTCATTGTCACCTAGCAGGATAAGCATTGGTTGCTGGAGGCCTACTCTAACACTGAATCAACATGAGTTGGATGAGGAGAGCAGGGGCCATATGCACAAAGCGATCTTAGCACTTAGATGATGCTTACTCCCATACTTTAACATAGGCTTACAATAGTCTTAACACTAAGATCGCTTTGTGCAAGTGGGCACAGGACTGTGATGATGACAAGAAATCTTCGTTCTTGAACCACCACACAAAATAATGCAAAGATCTTCTGAATAGACTAATGCTCTCATCCAGCTAGACTGTGTCAATCTAAAGGCCAGAAGAAATGTTGTGTTTTTAAATCAACATAATTGACGTTTCAAGAGAGGAGGCATCAAAGTCTACTTAATGCCTGTTCCCATTATTAGATATTTAATTCCCCTTATTTTCCTCTTCCCGGGGCAAGCACGTTCACTAGCCTATATCAAAGCCTAGTTTGATAAACAAGGCTAGTGGACGCTTTTACCCCCGGAAGATGCATTATTTTATATATAGGCATTTCTCTTTGTTTACAGTAACAATAGCCACTGGTGGCACTATGACTGAGCCACAAAATTCCAGCCTTGTTCAGCAAGGGCAGAAATTAGACTTTTACAGTCAGTTAACTCCCTTGCCTTGGGAAGATGCATAATGTCTGGGGGAAAGGCCAACTGATCCTGGCAAGGCTAAGGGACACAACTCTGCACAGCAAATGTGGCACCTCATACCTCTGGCCCGTCTTTCTCATAGCACACATCCAAGAGTGAAGAAAGCAATATGCACTAACCCTCCCAACCAGTCTGTGCACAGTTGATGGTCTGAAGCACAATATCACACTGTGATTGATACACCACCTGAATACGTCCACTCTTCAAGGCTCTCCTGAAAGTTCACATTTCACCCAGAAGATACAGTGAACAGAAAAGTCCATAACAAAATATTTTCCCTTTGTATCTAAGAGTTCTGTTGCTACTGTGACTGCTCCGGATTCTGTTGAGTACGCTTTTGGAAACTTCTTGATTTTGCAAAGTTAGCTTCTTGTTTCTTCTTCCTCTGAAATTAAATTAACAATAAAGTTGAAATGAAATCATTATTGACACTACCAACAGATTGATTTCAGAGATGACTGGACTTGTTTCAGTTCCCAACCAAAGAATCATGAAAGCTACGATTTTTGAATTTGCAAGGGATAATAAAATTTATTTACATCTGCAAAAGAATGAAAAGGGAACATTCAAGACCTGTTGAAATGTAGTAAATATGCTGTGGTAAAATACTGTTTACAAACATATTTTCGTTTTACTTGTTTTTAATTGCTGTGTGACATAGTATGATTTTTCAATTCTCATCATGATCCAATCAATGAATGCAATTTCAATTCAATGATCTATTGTTACACTTTAACCAGTTCCCTCAGTCACTGCTGGCATTTTCAAAAGCAATGGGACTGTACACCAGAGTTCCAGATAAGCTGCATATCTGCGTAAAATACACATCAGAATGCAAAAATCAAATCAAATCAAAGCGTATCCAATACGCAACGAACATTACAAATAAGCTACAAAAATAAAACTTGTGCGTATCATCAAAATATTGTGAAGTAACCCTGCGTATTCGATTAGCAAATCAGCAACTTATTTTGAAATTATAGAAACGGGCATTCCGTCAACCTTGCCAAACTCCACGATGACAGTTACATCATGATCATTTGCCATCACACTTTCTTGTGGAAGTATCGTGGTATTTTTGAGTCCTATAAAGCTCTCGAACCCACACGACACCAGTTTGCAGGGACTAGAAAATAGTGTTTTTAAACATTTAACTTAGATACCTACATGTGTAAATAATAGTGGGTAACAGAAATTTGAATACCCAGATAGAACTACTGATGCCCAATGATATAAAAATGCATGGGTAAAATACCCACAACACCAAAAGCTTATCTGGAGCTCTGGTACACAGAAATTTCTGTCTAGAATTATACAAGCTGAAACCCCTTTTATTTCTGAACTTCTGAGTATATTAAAGTGTCTTGTTCTTAACAGGGATAGACACTGCCACTACTCCATCACTATCCAATACAGCCACAGCCTTGGAAAAGTCTGGATGGACTTGTATACCTACCAAAATATAGTTACAGATATGTTACATAAACCTCTAGTCATAAATGAGCAGTGGACCAGTCACATGTTACTCAAAGGGTCAACCTTGCGAGTCCAGGTGGTGATTAAAGACAATTTTGAATCTTGCTGATTTGAAACTATTTCACTTCCATGATTTGATTCACTAAGAACACATAATTAGAGTGAGTGAGTGAGTGAGTGAGTGAGTATGGTTTTACGCCGCTTTTAGCAATATTCCAGCAATATCACGGCGGGGGTCACCAGAAATGGGCTTCACACACACATAATTAGACAACATTCACCAACTGAAACTTATATGAAGTCAAGCATTCTCACTAAAGGGCATGTAAGATTATTATGTGTCAGTAGAGATTGTTGTAAGTTTGTAGTGTTTGTCAGTGGCAGCAAATGATTGAAGCACTAGTAAAATGTCAAGGGCTTGTGTCAGGAAGTGCGTGGATGGTAGAGTTTCTTCACCTGGTTGTTGCTAACAAACATGGAAGGCTTGATCATTTGAGAAGTATCAGGATGGGACAGTTTCTAGAAGGCTGGCTGTACCAATGTAAGTGTGACACGAGGGTCGAGGCATTTTATGACCTGACTAATCTAATTGAGAAGTGCGGATTGGATCTATAAACCTACTGCCGCTTGTTTTCTATAGAATTGTAGGTATCTCCCAATCTCAAGGTAACCTTGTGAGAGGTACAACCTTCAAGTGAGACCTGCTGAGAGGTATTCCATTTGAATTGTAGGACCTACTTGGAGGTTTTACAATTTAATTATAAGACCTAGTTTGATTTTTGACTAGTTAAGTCTTCAGCAACCCATGATTGCTGTAAAAGGCGACTATGCTTGTTGTAAGAGGCGATGGGATCGGGTGGTCAGGCTCGCTGACTTGGTTGATGCATGTCATCATATCCCAATTGTGTGGATCGATGCTCATGATTTCAATCACTGGATTGTCTGGTCCAGATTTGATTATTTACAGAATGCCGTCATATAGCTGGAACATTGCTAAGTGCGACGTTAAACAACAAACAAACAAAATTGTTTCCCCTGAAAATTCCATGATGTTATTTGAACAAGCAACCTCACATATTGTGTTGAGCATTGTTACCTACTGTGCCATCTGGGCAGGTGAGAAATAAGAGTTCAATCTTATATGTCAGGACTTCATTTGTGTGCATGCAGCACACAGTCTTTGTCTCGCACGCGTTCATCGAACTCCTTTAATACCCCGACACACTGTATTGTTTTACTATAAGGTATCCCGATGTTTTCTTACTCTTTCAGGTAGTTCTTGCGTTTAGATGGTTTATAAATTAATTAAAACACTCCTCCTCAGTCAGATTAGATTAGATTAGTTAGATTTATCATCATTCTTACCTCTGCCTTTAAGCACCTGGTCAGTGCTCTATCCAGATCATTGCAGTGTCCCATGAATTTACGAACTGGATGCTGAAAGGTAGATTCAGAATTGAGTCAGCTTATAAAATAAGTTTGATTTAAACTCATTTCTTCAACTGTTGCTACTAATTCAGACTGTTGTTCAATTTGGAGATAGATGTACAGTTTTATCAATGTAGAGCTAGGTATCCTGTAGATTCAACTGAGTTAAATTTAATTTGGAACCAAACATGCAGCATCAGGTGCCAAATGGTAAAAATAAGGGCAGTTAGATCAACAGATAACATAGTTCTACACTGAAAACATGGACAAAAATTAAACTAAATATGAATTCTTTGAAGATAGTGAAGATATCAAGTGAAGTCCGATGTAATGAGTTTGCTGTCAATCTCAAGACTTAAGGAACTACAGATAAATCTTCAGAAAAAAAGTATGACACATTAAATGCTCAAACATTGCTTTTTTAAAAACATTGTACTTTTATCGCATATATGAGAGGCACTGAAGCATGAAGCACCCCGCTCTGTAAGCCAACATTAGGTGGACATCCGTACAGAAAATTAATCAAGCCGTGCAAGGCTTAGTTTCACACCAAACATCACTATTATGACATCACATTGCTCATTGTGACACAAAAAATATATGATGTCACTGTCAGATATAGATAGGCATCAAATTTCAAGTTATCTGTTGTCTGCAGGCATATTAATTTGGAGACACATTAATTTCAAGATTTGCAGTATTTAATTAAAAACATAAAAATACTACTCACATCAACATGACACTGCTGGAATGCATTTATTATTTCATTACATTCAGCAGAATGAAGATGAGATGAGAGATCAGGATGCATCTCAACACTTGAATTATTGGCTCCTGCTGAAACAACAATTAATATACTAAATACAGGATATGTATAGATTAGAGCCCCTGGTGTCTAATCGCTAAAATGAGTTAGGGTCTGAGGCGTATATGACCACAGTATAGCCACCTAGGGGACATGTGTTCAGGTGTTCTATGGTCCAGCATTAGAAATTGGCACAAGTCCTGTAATCCTTGCCATACTGCCCAATAGTGGAGGTATCATAAGGACTACTCGAAATGTGCAACTTTTAAGGGTTTTACTATATGTTATAATTATAAGGACTAGGGGACTGAAACTGTTTCTACCACTGTGGTCTGTTGCCAATTCAAGTCAACGGCAAACATGCCGGGCTGGCCAACTGGCAAAAGCCTAGTCCATCTTCGAGTTCACGTAACTGAACTGAAACAATTTGAATGAAGTCATATGTTACAAAAGTATGTAACTTGGTCATGGTCACTTAGATGCTCTTCCATGAGTAATTCTGGTGATTGTATATGCCACCATACCCTCATGCATGGGATATCGTTCACTGGATTGTCCGGTCTAGACTTGATTATTTACAGGCTATCATCATATAGCTGGAATATTGCTGTATGTGGTGTTAATAAACATGATAAACAAACATTTCGTAAATAGCCCAGGCCAACTGAAGTTAATGACAACATATCTCTTAACATGCAGATAATGATTTAATGAGGCTCCTTGCTGGTTGTTGCAACATACACTATGAATTATCTAGTATCAGCTAATATGGGACAAACTAAAGGTTTTTCTAACTTATGTTCGATTGAAATTAGAATGATTACTTTTCTGGAAACAAAAACCTCAAAAATCCAAAGTCAAAGACAAGTGACCAAACCCGAGTAAAGACCTTTACACATAATCTGATATTTGTGGGTAAAGCCTGTGTTCCCTGCAAATTATCGGACCCGGTTTGCAGGCTTTTAGGATGATGGTCCCCGAATAAAGCATAATCACGGGCTTAATCATCCCAATTAAATATAAAACCGTTATCACCACAAACAAGATAAAAGCATGCACGTTCTTACATAAATAGCAGACAAACACTTCCTGTGCAGTTGGCTTGAAACGTCATTCCATATCCGGTAAAGTGCTTGCCACGATACGTCATCAGTTTTTGTTGTAAACACTGCGGCGCCGATTTCAACGATTTCTTTTAGAATCTTTTAGAAACTACAGGCTGATCTAACATGTTCAAGATATTTTATAGATTACCCGACACGTCATACTAATGGATAAACAGATAATCTTTCGAGTTATTTGTCGATGTACCAAAAATGACATTATTGATACTTGTAGGAAGTGGAATTTTCTCCCCGAAGTAACTCTGCAACAGATAAACCTCAAGAAACCCAAAATTCGGATTGCAGAAGATGTTTACGAAAGTTGTCAAGTGCGTTGTTTGCTTTTTACATCCATTTGTTAAGACATAATTTGTGACAAAATACCATGTTTTTACCATAACATTCGAACTGCTGAATGATTCAAGAATTTTGCATTACCTTCCCAAAATGAAGCCAGTCGGTTTAACTTTTTTTTACGCAGTAATCAAATTTCAGGCTTGTGTCACGTTGTTGCAAAAGAAACATATCGGAATAGTAATGTGTTATATAATACATAACAGCGATAAAAACTAACATATCTAATCCACTAATCCTTATAATACTTTCGTATAGCAAAACCCTTTTAAAATGGCAACTTTTCACTCGTCCTTTGATTTGGCAAGGTCTAGACCTATAGCACTAGTGCCATTTTCTGTCCCTGAAGTCAACCAGGCTTAGGCCATGAGTCTGTTAGTCCGAGACCAGTGACTATTGAAACAGTTATTCTACATAAACCACTATTCTGAAATGCGCTGAGGACGAGTTTCATATGACAAATGGTGTCTGTCCCTGTCAACTCAACATAATATACATGCATTTGACTCGTTCATAATGATCATATGCATTTTTTACATCTACGGTATACGATTTATGCCATAAATGCATCGATGTATCATTTCACCTCAACACAATACAATTTTTATTCCTAACATATGATATATATTATATGAAAAAACATTCCACTAATGATCTCTGTATAATTTAGCTTTTTATAATGTAGTATTTGTAACATTTGTCGATTTTGTTTTTAATATGGTCTTATGATTTATGCTATTTTTATTACCATGATCACTAGTTGAAATATTGACTACCGTTAACATAATTAAACACCTCATTTTCAATTTTGTTGTCTTTTTTTAACTGGTCTGTTTTCACCTATTTGGGGCCATTTCTGCCATCAAGATATGGGCTCATCATGTCAAGGGGTCTTTTTAGTGGCAGTGGGACAATACACTGATACATCTATGTATTGTGATTTTTTTACTTCTCAATACAAGTATCGATCATAGTCGCCCACAAAGCAAAACATATCTATTCTTGCCGTAAACATTTTCTTTCATAATTTTTGCACCAAACACTAATTATTTGTGAAAATGTACATACACTAAGCCATACTTGACACAACTGTAAATAATCAGTGTGCCAGGTATTTGGTTTATGAAAAAGATGGCTTAGGCACCACTGATAAGAGTTCATGCAAGTGTCAAGATACGTGTTGGATCATGAGCATAGTATTGTAGTAGTTATCGGATCGTACTGTTGGTGTATCTCCCAAGCCCTACCTTTTAGCCAGCATATTTTTGTGTATGAATTTCGTTATAAGTATTTCTCTACTTGTTCAGAGAAAATGGGAACACTTAAATGTGATCAGTGTATCATGTTGACATATTATGTAGTTTCAATCAGCAATAGTCATTCACATAACAATAAGCTTGATTAGCTTGTAACATAATCAGCTTATCAATTTGCAGGAAGAAGATGTTGACATTCAGGCTGCTGGAGATCTTGATCTCATCTGTAAGTACAATCTCTGACATCAGCCTAACCATTAGACTAACATCTAGTCTCTGAAATGAACAGTTCGAACAGAAAAAAACAGTTGTTCAATTATCTTAATAAAAAATATATTAAAAGTGAGCCCAGAGACTCTCTTCATTTTCAGACTTTCCAAACATTATAGACTTGCATGGGCTGTATTTGATATATATTTGTATCAGGGTCTGTAAGCATGGTAAGACAGACTATCTAACCATGCTGACTATACATCATGTACATAGTATGTAATGTTTGTTCAAAATTAAAACTGTATTAAACATGATAAAGCTATAGTTTCTAATGAATCCTTGTATCATTTTTGGCTGTTTGATATGAACAAATCAAAAACAAATATAATACATCCAGTGATTGACATGCATTAACCAAGTCAGCGAGCCTGACCACCCAATCCCGTTAGTCACCTCTTACGAAAAGCATAGTCACCTTTTACGGCAAGCATGGGTTGCTGAAGACCTATTCTACCCTGGATCTTCACGGGACAGATCGCTGTTGCTGACGGTATACAATCTCATGATGGCTGTTGCTGACGGTATACAGTCTCATGATGGCTGTTGCTGATGGTATATGGTGTCATGATGGCTGTTGCTGACGATATACGGTCTCATGATAGCTGTTGCTGACGGTATACGGTCTCATGATGGCTGTTGCTGACGATATACGGTCTCATGATGGCTGTTGCTGACGGTATACGGTCTCATGATGGCTGTTGCTGACGATATACGGTCTCATGATGGCTGTTGCTGATGGTATACGGTCTCATGATGGCTGTTGCTGATGGTATAGTCTCATAATGGATCAGTAACAACCATCTTGGATTTTTACTGACGGTACACAGGCTCATGTGGGGTCAGTAGTTCTGCTGTCTGATTGGTCAATCTTACTTTGAGGCATAATATAAATGATTATTCTGATGCCAGTGTCTGATCCCCAATGGGGATCCTTGACCTGTGCTGGTTGTAAGCAGTGACTAAATGGATTGGGTCATCAGACTTTGTGACTTTGTTTGTTGCCTAGCTTCGTATCCCCATGGAGTGGATTGTCTGGTCATGAGTGATGAGTGGGTATGGTTTTACGCCGCTTTTAGCAATATTCCAGCAATATCAGACACCAGATATGGGCTTCAGACATTGTGCATGTGTCGAAAATCAAACCCAGGTCTTCGGCGTGATGAGTGAACACGTTACCCACTAGGCTACCCGACCGTCCTGTCTGGTCATTGAAGCTGGAATATGGCATTAAATAACAAACACAGGTCTGGGTCTGATAAGAAGTAGGCTGCTTGACAACTTGGATTTTCATCATGTCTTATACATCATTCATATCATTTCAGACAGCCAGATCCATTCAGAGAGTAGAAAATGGAGTGTTTGCGAACTCCGAGGTCAAGGTACTGTCCTTTGATCATAGAGATCAGCATTATTTACATTCATTTTAAAAGCACTGTTTGAAACTTTTCAATTCACACAGAAGCCAGGGTATTGTCTAGACTTTCTAGACCAGGTTTTCAAAATGCACACCATAACAGCATCAGATATTGGCACTAGACCTGAAGTCCTTGCCAAACTGCCCAATAATTAAGGTATCATAAGGACTGGTAGAAATTTGCTGTTTTTAAGGGTTTTGGTATATGTTATAAACTTATCATTATAAGGACTAGTAGACTGAAACAGTTAGCAATGGTTAGTTTCTATCTCTGCATAATGTATGACGCATGACCGTATGATGCCCTGAACTTTGGGAATGAAGAATTTGGTTCTGTGGTTTTCAGATAAGGTCCATTTCATCTCCAGTCCAAATGCATTCAGGAAGCTGATTGTGTCCAAAATGAAACTGTACTTCGATGACGTGGTGAGTTGTGGTTAAACTGATATCAGACAAGTATGTCATGGAAGTACATTCCAAACACTGTTACTCCATAGTTTTGAAAATAATTGAAGCACACCTACCCTAAACACGCTAAACATAGCAGAACCCCTTCATATAATAAGTGGTATGGGGACAACAAATTATTTTTATCCCCTGCTCCACCGAAATGGAGTTCGTCTATCTGTCTGTCCTTCCTATTTCCGTCCGTCCACTTCTCAAAGGGGACACATTTTCTCAAAAAACTATATAAGTTAGAGAAATGAAATTTACACACTGATATTACTGGTCATGACCTTCAATGAGCTGGAATATTGGTGTCTTTAATTCATATTTTACAGAGGGGCGGTCAGGTAGCCTGGTCATTAAAGCGTTCGCTCGTCACGCTGACGACCCGGGTTCGATTGCCGAAATGGGTACAATGTGTGAGGCCCATTTCTGGTGTCCCCTGCCATGATATTGCTGGAATTTTGCTAAAAGTGGCATAAAACCATACTCACTTACTCACTCACTCACTCATATTTTACAGAGTTATGGCCCTTGCTCTGTGCTTTTCAAAGTGACTGCAGTGGGATAACTTTACACAGAAACTACTGAAATTACATGAATGAAAGTTTGCATGCTTACCGGTATCTGAGAGATACTTGTCATGACTGAGTTCGAAAATTGGTCCTGTAAGTTATTGTTTTCCAGAGTTAATTCCCTTGCTACAGCTACATGTTTTTAGATTTTTAGCATATACAGTTACTGCCCTTGAACCATGTTATTTTACAAAGTGATCAAAGTTTGTGTCAACTTGCATGATTTGTTTATACTAATGTAATCTTGGTCTCTTCTAGCAGTGTTTGCTATTATCGGATCAGATCGTCTCATTGTTTCATGGGGGGCACGGGTGGCCCAGTTGTCTAGGGTGTGCAGAGATGCGTACCTTGGGCGCACCAGAAACCTATGATTGTGGGTTCGAATCCCAGTTCGCCTTGATTATGTTTTTAGGTTTGTCAGCACCATACCTGTGCTCGTGGCTTTCACCGAAGTGGTAAACGTCAGAGACTTGCATCCCTTTCGGGCTTTCCTCCCACATTAAGCTGACACGCCGCGATATAACTGGAATACTGTTAAAAGCGGCGTTAAACCCAACTCACTCACTCACACTCATTGTTTTATGATGGTCATTAAGACAATGATGACCTGAGTAGATATTGGTTAATTGCCAAAATGAGTAAATATTAAGATAAGTAAATATTGAAATCAATACAGAATTAAACCTTGAATCATTGTTTATCGTGTATCATATCGTCAAATTCAAATTCTCAATGCACAAACATACTGTGAATCATGACACGTTTTTTTCTCATATATTTCGTAATGGACTGTTAGCATATAGACAATTGGAATTTTAACAATGGCTGTTGTTTGTGGCCAGTAACATATGCATTCTGTTGACAGCATGTGAATGTGAACATGTTTGGTGGCGCCCTCTGGAGTCGTGTTCACATCGTAGATGTGAAGCACCCCACGGTGTACAAGCCTAACGATGTCATCTACATGGTGCACTACCCCAAGACCCAGTTTGTAGTCATCTCCAGGATCAAGGCTAAAGATGAAGACAACTTCATTGAGGTAAGATTAAGACGTATGTCTTAGGTCTGGGACGGGTAACCCAGGTACTCGGGTCGGGTGGGTACTGAGTAGGACCTGGGTACCCACAGGACTACCCAGACCCGTGCTTCATCACGTGATATATTGTTTAATAACAAAAAGTATCTAAAACTCTATGTTTAAACTAATGTTCGCAGTTCTTTCTGACTACTATGCCCATTCCTTCTGACTTTTATATGCTTGAATATAATTAAAACTGCAGTCAGCTTCAGCGTATACACCAGATCGGTTCATACATGTATCTAAACACATTTAATGATTTTACCAGAGCTACGGTCAAACTTTTCCCAATCGGACAGTTTGTACCTACCTCTTGAGACCAACAGCGGGTACCAAGGTAGGGTCGGGTAATAAGGGGGTGGGTACCCGGGTAGTAAATTTGGACTCATCCCAGCCCTAGTATGTCTCCCCATTACCGGATCCGCAGGCTTGGGCAGTGGACGCATTCAGCATCCCCTGGGTAGGGCTGAGAGCGTACTCTTTTCCGCCACCTATTCTACTTCCCAGAGTTATACAAATGATCAAACAGACAAGGAACCTTTCTCTGACTTGGATGCGCCGTGGTGGCCGACGAAGGGGGTGTTGTTGACCTCAGAAATCTTGCAGAAAATGATCCTCTACCCCTCCCTCAGTGGTCCAATATACTCATCCACCCTCACAGCAAATTGCCTCACCCAAGGCCAGGCAGATTTCATCTGCACACTTGGTTCGTCTTAAAAAGGCTTAAAGTGCTAAGAGCTGCCAAAGCTATTGCATTAGTGCATCGTCTCTCTACCAGGGGTTTATACGATTACAAGTGGTGATCTTTTAGAACCATTTGCAAGGCCAAAAAATCAAGATCCCATGTCACCACAACTCTTAGCCGAACACCTCTTACACTTGCATACCAAAAGAGACTTAAAGGGTAGCACCATTACTCCGTACTTGGTTGCGCTCAATTCAGTATTGGCCGTTCTGGAGAATTGTAAGGTGACCAAGGTTCCGCAACTACAGGCCATACTACGCTCTTTTAGGCTTGAGGACCAGAAGACAAAATTCTGTCCCCCTGCTTGGGAATTGAATGCGGTACTTTGAGGTTTGCGAGGGGCGCCCTTCAAGTCTTTCAACGCATCCTAATTTTATGACCTCAGTCACACACACTTAACGTCACCCGTCTGGTTTGAACATGGCATGCAGGGAGCAGTACATCTCGGGTTGTGCTGGCATTTTATAGCGAAAAATCAACTACAAGGCCAACACGATTGTTCCTTCACTTTTCCACCAATTTCGACGACTGTAGGAGTTGAAGATGATGGTGAACTCATCTTGTGCCCTGTTCGCTACGAGTTTTCATCCGCCACTCAAAAACTAGTTTTTCATCCTTGTATGCCATACATCCATGACCGAAGTTCCTTGCAAAACCATATCTCTATGGTTACACACAGTCATCCAACAGGCTTACGATATCGCCAAACTTGATGCTCCAAGAGCGAATAATTTTCACAAAATCAGAGCGGTAGCCTCTACCATGGCTTTACATAGTAACTGTTCTGTCAGCATTTTTGGAGGTCCGACACAGTTTTCGCAAGTCATTATCTTTGAGATGTGGCTCTTGAAGACGAAGGATGGCGCAGGTAACCAACCACCGACGCAAATAATGAAGTCATCCTATCTGGAGCCAGTTTCCCTCCTGCGCGGTATTGTCTAAGCCACTCCCAGTGAAAAGAATTGCTTCTATCAGCTTTGGCTCGGTAATACAGTTGGGAAAGATTTTAGCTTTCGCTATCATCCGTTATTACCATGTGTGTACACAGTTCTCTCAATTCTTATGTTCCGTCTGTAAATAAGATTGAACTTACCCAACAGTTACGGTGTTTTTATGCTTTTCCCGCCTTACGGTTAATTGGAAAACATGTGTCTTCTTTTGGGTGTGAGTTATCGAGTTTTTTTTCCTAGACATCTGAAGGTATTCCCGCCTCCATACCATCTGATACAGATGCATTAAGGAGTAATGCAGGATAAGTATACTTATCCTGCATTTCTACGTCTAAGGACCCACTTAAGGACTAAGGACCAGACATGCCTCCCCACTTTTCCTTCAGAAACCTTCAGAAACCTCCAAATACCAAAAACAATTAAGCTTGGGAGACAGGTAGTAATGTGATAGGTGATATTTCATCAAGGTCACATGACAGCAGCGATGGTCCATATAAAAAGTGTGATCTGAGAGCGAAACAACTTTTCTCTTCACCCAAGACCATTGCTGTCCTTTCCATCTTTTTCTCCTCTATAAACTCCGCCATTAGATCGCCTATGGGGCCTAGTGGTAGAGACCGCCTCTGTGTTCTAGTGGTAGAGACCGCCTCCGTGGTCTAATGGTAAAGACCGCCTCCATGGTCTAGTGGTAGAGACCGCCTCCATGGTCTAATGGTAAAGACCGCCTCCATGGTCTAGTGGTAGAGACCGCCTCTGTGTTCTAGTGGTAGAGACCACCTCCGTGGTCTAATGGTAAAGACCGCCTCCATGGTCTAGTGGTAGAAACCACCTCCATGGTCTAGTTGTAGAGACCGCCTCCATGGTCTAATGGTAAAGACCGCCTCCATGGTCTAGTGGTAGAGACCGCCTCTGTGTTCTAGTGGTAGAGACCGCCTCCGTGGTCTAATGGTAAAGACCGCCTCCATGGTCTAGTGGTAGAAACCACCTCCATGGTCTAGTTGTAGAGACCGCCTCCATGGTCTAATGGTAAAGACCGCCTCCATGGTCTAGTGGTAGAGACCGCCTCTGTGTTCTAGTGGTAGAGACCGCCTCCGTGGTCTAATGGTAAAGACCGCCTCCATGGTCTAGTGGTAGAGACCACCTCCATGGTCTAGTAGTAGTCGCCTTCGAGGTCTAGTGGTAGAGACCGCCTCCGTGGTCTAGTGGTAGAGACCACCTCTGTGGTCTAGAGGTTAAGACCGCCTCCGTGGTCAAGTGGTAGAGACCACCTCTGTGTTGTCGAGGTAGAGACAACCTCCGTGGTCTAGTGGTAGAGACTGCCTTCGTGGTCTAGTGGTAAAGACCGCCTCCATGGTCTAGTGGTAGAGACCGCCTCTGTGTTCTAGTGGTAGAGACCGCCTCCGTGGTCTAATGGTAGATACCGCCTTCGTGGTCTAGTGGTAGAGACCGCCTCCGTGGTCTAGTGGTAGAGACAGCTTCCATGGTCTATTGGTAGAGACAGCCTCCATGGTCTAGTGGTAGAGACAGCTTCCATGGTCTATTGGTAGAGACAGCCACCGTGGTCTATTGGTAGAGACAGCCACCGTGGTCTAGTGGTAGAGACCGCCTCCGTGGTCTAGTGGTAGAGACCGCCTCCGTGGTCTAGTGGTAGAGACAGCCTCCATGGTCTAGTGGTAGAGACAGCTTCCATGGTCTATTGGTAGAGACAGCCACCGTGGTCTATTGGTAGAGACAGCCACCGTGGTCTAGTGGTAGAGACCGCCTTCGTTGTCTAGTGGTAGAGACCTCAGTGGTCTAGTGGTAGAGACCGCCTCCGTGGTCTAGTGGTAGAGACCGCCTCCGTGATATAGTGATAGAGACAGCCTCCGTTGTCTAGTGGTAGAGACTGCCTTCGTGGTCTAGTGGTAGAGACCGCCTTAGTGGTCTTGTGGTAGAGACAGCCTCTGTTGTCTAGTGGTAGAGACCGCCTCCGTGGTCTAGTGGTAGAGACCGCCTCCGTGATATAGTGGTAAAGACCGCCTCCGTGATATAGTGATAGAGACAGCCTCCGTTGTCTAGTGGGAGAGACTGCTTTCGTGGTCTAGTGGTAGAGACCACCTTCGTGGTCTTGTGGTAGAGACCGCCTCCGTGGTCTAGTGGTAGAGACCGCCTCCGTGATATAGTGATAGAGACAGCCTCCGTTGTCTAGTGGTAGAGACTGCCTTCGTGGTCTAGTGGTAGAGACAGCCTTCGTGGTCTTGTGGTAGAGACAGCCTCCGTTGTCTAGTGGTAGAGATCGCCTCCGTGGTCTAGTGGTAGAGACCGCCTTCGTGGTCTTGTGGTAGAGACAGCCTCCGTTGTCTAGTGGTAGAGACCGCCTTCGTGGTCTTGTGGTAGAGACAGCCTCCGTTTTCTAGTGGTAGAGATCGCCTCCGTGGTCTAGTGGTAGAGACCGCCTCTGTGATATAGTGGTAGAGACGGCCTTCGTGGTCTAGTGGTAGAGACAGCCTCCGTGGTCTGGGAGTAGAGACTGCCTCCGTGGTCTTGTGGTAAAGACCACCTCTGTGGTCTAGAGGTAGAAAGTCTACCCAGAGAACAGAAGGTCAGGGGTTCGATCCCCAGCTGCGTCATACCAAAAGACTTTAAAATTTGCACTTGTTGTTACCCTGCCTGGTGTTCGAAGTTAAGGAGCTAAAACAAAAACTCTGTGCAGCGTTAAACAACAAACAAAACAAACAAACAAACATAGCTGGTGGAGGGGGGTTAGGACTGCACAGGGCTCAGTTTGCTGAGCACTTCACTTCCTATAATAGGTGTGCCAGTATCCTACTTCACAGGTTTCAAACCCAGATTTGCCCTGTTGATTCTTGGTTTGACAGCACCATACCCATTTATTGGGTTTCACCTAAGTGGAAAGGACCGCTTCCGTGGTCTAGAGGTAGTGCGTCCGCCCGGAGAGCGGAAAGTCCGGGGTTCCATCCCCGGCCGTGTCATACCAAATGACGTTAAAAGATGGTACTTGTTGTTACCCAATCTTGCGCTCGGCATTAAGGGGCTAAAACAAAGACTGGACGGCTTGGAGTCAGTATACTGTGTCTGAGTGGGGTATTCATGTTAAACTGCGGCATGGTATAAAATAAACATTAGTCCAAAATATTACAAGCAGCCCCACACACACATTCGTGCATGCATGTCGCTATATAAGTGCAACAATCTTGAACGCATTGTTAAACCCCTCACCTCTCTTCTCCTCTACACCATTGATGTGCTACAGGCCCTGCTACCAGTGTTCAAGACAGACGAGGTTCACAGCCTCCAGCTGGTTGGAAGTCACGTCCCCTCCTTGGTAGAGCTGGCTCTCAACAAACACAGCCAGGTAAGATGCATGGCCTAGCCTATTGTCTGTCCAGACTGAGGTCAAGTGGATACTGATATAAGTGATACGTATGGTTCAGCTGTTGTTACACATTGCATCGATTAAACTAACAATGGCTAAAGAAGTAAAAAAATTCAATTTTCCCGTTCATTTTCATGCCTTTTTGTTTAAAGGAAAGTAGTATGTAGTTTCTGTCTTATTTCAGGGATCATTTGGGAAGTACAGGAGCATTGAAGAAAGGGAAAACCCCCTTACAAGGAAGTCGAACAGAAAGCGTAAAGGTGTGTTTACTAAGATAAGCTTATCCTGTGTTCATATCCTGTTTTCTTTCAAAGTTATACACTCACATGGCAAAAGTTGGTGAACTTTTCATGAAACCTTATACCTTTCTATGTGATTCCCAAAGTGTTCAGGACCTGTGAAGATCCGGGTCTTCAGCATCCCATGCTTGCCATAAAAGAGGCGACAAACGGGATCGGGTGGTCAGACTCGCTGACTCGGTTGATGTATTTCATCGATCCCAATTGCGTGGACATCAGCTCATGATATTAATCACTGGATTGTGTGGTCCAGACTCGATTATTTACAGACCGCCGTCATATAGCTGGAATATTGCTGAGTGCGGCATCATACAACAAACAACAACAACAACAACAGTATTCGGTGGGGATTCTGTATTACAACAGGTCCACAACTTGTCATGCTTGTCATACGAGGCAACAAAAATAATTTTGGACGGACTCGGTGACTTGGTTGATTAAATGTTCCTGTACCCAAATGGTGTGAATATTGCTTATAATAACAATCACTGGATTATCTGGTTGAGGCCTGATTATTTACAGGTTAACGTCACAAGGGTGGAATATTGCTGCATGCGCCATTAAATAATAACAAACTCACAAAGATAATTTTCATGATCTGTTAGCTGTACAAAAAATTGATATGAACATGGAGATTCAGTAAAACCCCTTCATATTGCATTTATTTTGCATTGTACTGTGGATTCAAAAGGTATCGAAAAACAAAACAACATCCACTCCCTCACTTAGCAATATTCCAGCTATATAACGGCGATCTGTAAATAATTGAGTCTGGACCAGACGATCCAGTGATTAATATCATGAGCATCGATCCTCGCAATTGGGATCGATGCCATGCATCCACCAAGTCAGCGATTCTGACCACCCGATCCCGTTAGTCGCCTCCTAAATAGCATAGTCGCCTTTCACAGCAACATGGGTTGCTGAAGACCTATTCTACCCTGGATCTTATAGCGATGGTAATGGCACTGGCAAGACATCTTCCCTGAGGTCAGATTGTCCACTAGCCTATTTGAAAGCCTAGTTTCTGCCATTGCCATTTTAAGGCTACTGTTCTTGGCTTGATTGTGGTTCCACCTCGTGTAAAACAAGAGTTGTGTCCCTTGTGATGAAAATGAGATATCCGATCAGATTGCTGTTCCTATTTCAAATGGCTTCACAAAGATGACGACTATAGCAGACAACCTGGTGGATTAGATACCGAAACAATTTGAGATATCATCCCTGACAGCCAAACAAAATGACAGATTGCCACAGTAAAGATACTTATTGCTGCTGCACATTGAGAGAGGCATACAGATTGCACAGTATCAAGTAACACTGCACATCACGGTAACATGGAACACACAGCAGGGATCGTCTTAAAAATAGCACTGTATCTCAGTCACTCCGATAAACCTTCAGTCATTTTAGTTAAAAATCAATGACGTTTGCACTTGAATATATAAAAGTAGTTGGTCGAGTTCATTGAAAACTTTGAATCACTTCAGAAATATTTGTCTTCGCTTAATTTTTTGGAATAATTTCAAAACCTGGTGTTGATTTTGTCAAACTTTCTCTGATACAACTATCTGCTTGTGCGATATTCCTATCATATTTTTGCCGAGAATAGTAGGCTTGAAATGGCAAGGGTGAAAACTTGACTTTGATACAAGCTAGTGTACATGCTTGCCTCGGAAAGATACTGGCAAGAGCGATTTCCTTCTTTTATTGTCATATGTAAAATAGCTATGTGATAAATCAAAAAGAACAATGAAGAACTAAGCATGGTTTATTTCACGTTGAGGCATTGTTCTATCATGTCATCATTTCTGGAGATTTGAATATGAGCTTGCAACTTGATGACGTCATATATTGGATGACGTTGTTTTTTATAGGGAAGTGTATAGTTCATTGTTCCTCAGAAATGTGTCTGGGCATACACAGTGTACAGCCGAATGATCACATCTAAAAGTAGGACAGATATGACAAATGGTAAAGCGAGCAAAGGCACAGATAATCGACGTGAGGATTGTGACAATATGCAGGAAATACCAAACTTAACCAACCCACCTGTTCGTAAAACGGACATGTTCGACATTGCCGAGGTCAGAATCTATTCAGGGAGTAATCATTATTTAAATACGGGTAAATATTTTTAAAGCTCAACATTTTTTGTAACATCCTTTAGGCTGTGCGTAATGTTGATAATAATCAACTTGCGGTAATTCAGGCCCTCATGGTTTATTCTCCCTGCAGTGTTTATTGTACGATAAACTACTCCCACTCGTCGTTTATTTCATAAATTTTGCTTTTGTTCAAACATGTTCATACCTCTCATATATCTGATGTTTAAAAAACTAATGTGACATTGATGAATGGAAGTTTATAGACAGCAGATTTGATTCCCAAGCTCATTCAAGTTTTGTGAGACAGTATCGCAATTTAACAGACAAATGGCTAATTGTGGGTATGATAGAGAGGGGACAACAGTATCCCAAGTTGCCTGAATGTTTGGCAAATCAAGAAGTGTAATTGCTCAACTGTGGGACGAGTATAGTCAAACGGGTGGGGTTACAATGCAATCTGGGAGTGGAAGGACATAAAAAACAACACATACACAAGGTCATCTCATTACATTAATTGTGCTACGCAATAGATTTAAATCTGCTCCTGTTATCAATAGAGAGTTCTGTACAATAACAGGAAGGCAAATTTGAAACAACTAAACCGGCTCTATACAGCCCGCCTGAAAGCAAGGCATCTTGTGAGGGTGTGGCCCTAACAGCTCACCATAGGCGACAAAGATTGGGTGGGCCAGGCAACATCAGTGATGAACTGTGAACCAATGGTTTTATACCATGTTTTAAATGCAGATGAAATAAAGGTTTGCCTCCGACTCACAGATGGCAGAAAACGTATTTGGCAATGTAGCGGCATGCACTATGCCAAGGCAACAATCCTGGACCATGATCAGTATGGGGGGCAGCATCACATGACAGGCGAACTAAATTGGATGGACATTTGACAGGCCATCCACATGTTGATGCGACTTTGCGTTAGTCGTTCCATTCTCTAGAATTATAGGCAGAAATTTCAAGCTGAAAAAAATATCTTATTGTCTACTGCAATCTCGTTCTTGACAATATTGAGACCATATTTAGACTTTTTTGTTTGTTTCTCCTGCTGTGATGTTTGTTTGTTTGTTTGTTTCTCCTGCTGTGATGTTTGTTTGTTTGTTTCTCCTGCTGTGATGTTTGTTTGTTTCTCCTGCTGTGATGTTTGTTTCTCCTGCTGTGATGTTTGTTTCTCCTGCTGTGATGTTTGTTTGTTTGTTTCTCCTGCTGTGATGTTTGTTTGTTTCTCCTGCTGTGATGTTTGTTTCTCCTGCTGTGATGTTTGTTTCTCCTGCTGTGATGTTTGTTTGTTTGTTTCTCCTGCTGTGATGTTTGTTTGTTTCTCCTGCTGTGATGTTTGTTTGTTTCTCCTGCTGTGATGTTTGTTTGTTTGTTTCTCCTGCTGTGATGTTTGTTTGTTTGTTTCTCCTGCTGTGATGTTTGTTTGTTTCTCCTGCTGTGATGTTTGTTTCTCCTGCTGTGATGGTTGTTTCTCCTGCTGTGATGTTTGTTTGTTTGTTTCTCCTGCTGTGATGTTTGTTTGTTTCTCCTGCTGTGATGTTTGTTTGTTTGTTTCTCCTGCTGTGATGTTTGTTTGTTTCTCCTGCTGTGATGTTTGTTTGTTTCTCCTGCTGTGATGTTTGTTTCTCCTGCTGTGATGTTTGTTTGTTTGTTTCTCCTGCTGTGATGTTTGTTTGTTTGTTTCTCCTGCTGTGATGTTTGTTTGTTTCTCCTGCTGTGATGTTTGTTTGTTTCTCCTGCTCTGATGTTTGTTTGTTTCTCCTGCTCTGATGTTTGTTTCTCCTGCTGTGATGTTTGTTTGTTTGTTTCTCCTGCTGTGATGTTTGTTTGTTTGTTTGTTTCTCCTGCTGTGATGTTTGTTTGTTTCTCCTGCTGTTATGTTTGTTTGTTTGTAACGTCGCTATATAAGTGCAATAATCTTGGATGCGACGTTAAACCCCATTTCACCTCACCACCTTGTTTGTTTGTTTCTCCTGCTGTGATGTTTGTTTGTTTCTCCTGCTGTGATGTTTGTTTGTTTGTTTCTCCTGCTGTGATGTTTGTTTGTTTGTTTCTCCTGCTGTGATGTTTGTTTGTTTGTTTCTCCTGCTGTGATGTTTGTTTGTTTCTCCTGCTGTGATGTTTGTTTGTTTCTCCTGCTGTGATGTTTGTTTCTCCTGCTGTGATGTTTGTTTGTTTGTTTCTCCTGCTGTGATGTTTGTTTGTTTGTTTCTCCTGCTGTGATGTTTGTTTGTTTCTCCTGCTGTGATGTTTGTTTGTTTCTCCTGCTCTGATGTTTGTTTGTTTCTCCTGCTCTGATGTTTGTTTCTCCTGCTCTGATGTTTGTTTGTTTGTTTCTCCTGCTGTGATGTTTGTTTGTTTGTTTGTTTCTCCTGCTGTGATGTTTGTTTGTTTCTCCTGCTGTTATGTTTGTTTGTTTGTAACGTCGCTATATAAGTGCAATAATCTTGGATGCGACGTTAAACCCCATTTCACCTCACCACCTTGTTTGTTTGTTTCTCCTGCTGTGATGTTTGTTTGTTTCTCCTGCTGTGATGTTTGTTTGTTTGTAACGTCGCTATATAAGTGCAATAATCTTGGATGCGACGTTAAACCCCATTTCACCTCACCACCTTGTTTGTTTGTTTCTCCTGCTGTGATGTTTGTTTGTTTCTCCTGCTGTGATGTTTGTTTGTTTCTCCTGCTGTGATGTTTGGCCAAATGTTGCAGCGTCATCTGAACCAGTGAAGGACTTCGACAAGCGACTCAGAGGTGAGAATGAAGAAGAGAAGAAACAACGGATGGAGTTGCTTGACCACACATTTGGGAGTGCTGACCAGCCAACTCTGGAGAAGCTGGAATACAAGGTAGCTGTTCAGTACACTCAAGCCTCTTGTTGAAACATATTTTATGTATGCAAGTTAAATGGATTTGGGACTGTTTCGTACAACTCAGAACTCACTTGTCAGGGTGAAATTTTGAATGTAGATTTATGCCAAAGTGATATTCTTTGATGGATATGGTGACATCACTTCTTAAGCAATGCTGTAGTGGTGAAGGGTCGATGGTATATGTTGTGAAAATGGGAACAAAATTCACTGGATATTCGAGGATGGCCTTGAAGACCCCATGAGTCTTAATGTGTGCCCATTTCCACATGCTCATCAAAAGATCAGTAGGCCGACCGTCTGACGAATGCTTATGCTATGAGACAATTACTCACAATCTTCATAATCTCTGCATATTCATTTAGCATGGTCAGATGGGCCCCTGTACTCAAGATGCAACTTTGCACGAGCCCAACCAGTCAGTTTGTCTAATGTTAAAGGTATCCTCAGGGCTATTACAGTGTTGGCCTTTTCTGGGCGTTTCTCTATATATTATCATTATAACAGTTGGTACATTTTTCAGTTTGAGTTGCATCACAATACTATAGGAGCAGACGTGAGGACCCACTTGCACAAAGCGATCTCAGCGCTACGATGATCATAACTGCCATACTTTAATATAGACTTAAGATAGTCGTAGTGCTAAGATTGCTTTGTGCAAGTGGGTCTAGGACCCCAGGATCACCCTCAATACCGACACTGTTGTCAAATCATGAGAGTATAGCACATGTATAGCAATAGCAACCAGTGTTTGTTTTTCAGATGGATGTAAAATTTCGTGGAACTAAGTTTGTCCCCATGATGGCCAACAAAGACAGACCATTCCGCTGCCGCATCAAGTTTGAAGGACCATCGGTGCTTGAGGGTGTCCGGAATTTGGGCAAGGCTGGCCTCGCATCCTTGCCACTGCCATCTCATCTGGCCAAAGTCAACTCCCTTGCCAAAAACTTTTTTGTAATTCGGGACAAGACTGCAATGAATAAAAACCAAACATGAACCTTTGAATGGTTGTAATACTGTGAACTCGTACTGGATTATCCTTTTTTTGGACACGCTTCCCAACTGTGAAAATAATGATAATAACAATGCTGTTCTGTATTCGTCAAAGTGAAATTGATAAACATACTTGATTCTAGTGCCTGACTATGATAATATGTTGTATTTTTGTACACAAATTCACTAACAAAAGCATTTATGATATCAAGCCTTGAAACAGTTTACAATGATGTGTATTGTTATTCTTCTGTTGACCAACTGTTTAGAAAGTGGATGAGAAAAGTTTGAAGTTCCAGGGAACTCCTATTTATAACAACATTAAGGTTATTTTTGTCCATTTGAAAATGAAACAAACATCCCTTTTGTAAGATCCATGATGTGCATTTTACTCAAATTAAAAAGAACAAGCACAGTTTTGCATCTAATGAGCCAATACTTATTATGTTAGGAAAGTTATACAATTTCCTGTGTAATGACATCACTTAGAAGTAAAATCCTGGTGCTTCTTTGTGTAGATTTATTGTAAGGAACTCAATTTTATCTTTAAATTTTAAGTTTGAATTTGGAATGAGCCATTCAAACTGACTTTTAGAATTGTTTTTGTTTTGCTTACTTTTTAATTGACTTAGATGTGGTCTGGGCAGATAGGAATTGTGTTTCTCTGTATTGTTTTGTTGAGCGTATGCTTTGTTAAATATGGAATAAATATTGTAAACAAACGTTTTTGTCTTTTGAGATCACATCCGTATCATGCATATGTTCATGTCTGCGGCTATGCATCTGTCCTTCCTCAGTTTGTGAAAGCAGTGGAAGAAATGTAACATTTTATTGAAGAATTTTAAAGATAATGTCCAATAGAACAGAAACTTCGGCCTCATTTCTACTCATTAGGTTCACAGCTACGGAAACCCTGCAGATCCAGGTTAGAATTGGTCTACAGCAACCCATGCTTGCCATAAGAGTCGACTATGCTTGTCGTAAGAGGCGACTAATGGGATCAGGTGGCCAGGCTCACTGACTTTGTTGATGCATGTCATCGTTTCCCAATTGCATAGATCAATGCTCATGATGTCAGTCACTGGATTGTTTTGGCCAGACTCGATTATTTAGAGACCACTGTCGTGTAGCTGGATTGATGCTGTGTGCAGCGTTAAACAACAAACAAAACAAACATAGCTGGTGGAGGGGGGTTAGGACTGCCCAGGGCTCAGTTTGCTGAGCACTTCACTTCCTATAATAGGTGTGCCAGTATCCTAGTTCACAGGTTTGAAACCCAGATTTGCCCTGTTGATTCTTGGTTTGACAGCACCATACCCATTTATTGGGTACCCCCTAAGTGGAAAACATCCGAGACCTGCATCACTTCAGGCTCTCTGCCACTTCAATCTGACAGGCTGTGATGTAACTGAAATGCTGTTCAAAAGGGTGATAAACCCAACACACACTATCCCATTCACACTGGCTTGTAGCCAAGTTTAGAAAACATTTATATTAGTGTTGTAATCTACTCAAAAGAAGTTAAAGAACACCTGATTTTTTTGGCATGGCTGGTGGGTATTGTAACACACAGCCTTCCAAGTGTGGCTGTTCTTTAACTTGTTATCCCCCGCCCAACAAAGATTCATTTCCGGAGCATAACTCAGAAACCGTTCAATATTTTTTCATGAAACTTTGCAGGTCTGTCAAGTTCATGCTGAACTGGTGCCTTTTGCTATTTAGAAATTTTAGAAATTTTTATTTTTTACATTTCCATGGCAACAAGATGGACTTAGGTTCCAAACTCTTCTTTTTTTCTTTTTCACTTAAATAATCATGGAGAAATGTACATTCATCTTCAATAGTTTCACTACTGTAGCATCACAAAATGTACGCAAAACATTTTCCATTTCTACTTGAACTGTTGTGTACTAAGTGTATTTAAAGTTGCAGATTCTTTTTTCAAACTGACCTGGTTAAAAACATTCTTTAGACTAGTCTGTTTCATTGTAAATGGGTGACTGAGCAGTTTCCTTGTTTCAATACTCTGTTCTCAAGGCATATATGTAAAGTGGATAAGGTGTTATAACATTAATTCAGAGCTGGCGATTATGACTGACTCCGAAGACGTGGGTTGGTACCTGGAACCTGTTCAACACAGGGATCTTAGTGCTAAGGTGGTCGTAACTCCCATACTTTATCATAGGTTTACACGTAGCACTAAGATAGCTGTGTGGAACAGGGCCCTGTACTGTGAGCTATAAGTTTGCAATATGTCACTGTGGAATGAGTATTGAAAACATTATTACTGGAACCTACTTCTGTTTGGTTCGCCTTGTCTTTGTGTCTGTAGACCGCTTCTGTGGTCTAGTGATAGAGCATCCGCCCGGAGAGCGGAAAGTCCGGGATTCGATCCCCGGCCGTGTCATACCAAAAGACGTTAAAAGATGGTACTTGTTGTTACACTGTCTGGTGCTCGGCATTAAGGGGCTAAAACAAGGACTGGTCGGCTCGGAGTCAGAATACTGTGCTGAGTGGGATATTCATGTTAAATTGCGGCATGGTATCTCAGTGAGATAGCACTATAAATCGGCATCAGTCCGGACTAGTACAAGCAGCCACACAAACACACACACGAACATTCACGTCGCTATATAAGTGCAATAATCTTGGACGCGACGTTAAACCCCTCACGTTTCACCTCACCTCACCTTTGTGTCTGTTAGCATAACTGTTCACTACTGGAGTTTCGTCTGATAGTTCCTTATTTACACATTGGTCTTTGAAAGTACTAACGTTTTCCAGACAACGCAGTAAAGATCGGGTAGTCTTATGTCAAGCTATGCAGCATTCATTTGCTTATAATTTAAATAATCCTAGTTACGCCCCGCCATAGATATGGCCATGGTTTGTGTATACAAACATGTGTCTGCAAGCCTCGACTAGGCTGTACATTTGGACTCTAGGGCGTAGATGAATTTTATCGAAACACTTAGTGGCATAAGCCCAAACTCTCCCTGTCAGCATCCCCCCTCTCACTGAATCTGATACTCTTTAGCCATGATCTTATCAGTTGTTCCCCTGCTCCAGTGAAGCAGACACGGTCAAGCTGGTCCAAGTTTGTTTACTTTAGGGCACTGATGGCATGGGCCAGCTTGACACTCAAGGATTGAAACATAACACTCCAAGACAAAACAGTGAAACTACAGTGACCAAATCAACTCTTTGAAAAACGTTTTGGAGGTAATAATTATAATAAAGTGTCTATTCACTGGAAACTGACATCCCTTGACCAATATTTAAATCATGTTCAATGTGGTAAGCATTTATATATATCGGGTTTAAACCCAATTAGGCAATTCATTAGCCATTACTAATGATGGTAGTTTTGGGTTAGGCTCATACTCATAGGTATGTTAGTAGACTAACCCTTAGTCTATATAATTTTGATAAAAACCAATAACGCCAATAAATTGAAAAAGAGCCACATTGAGATGAGAGATTCAGCTTTTAGAAAATTTTACACTTGCTTCATGTTTTAGGGCTATACCATTTCAGTAAGGGGAAGGCAGAAAGGAAACTAAAAAGCTTGAGATTCTGTGAGGCAGACTAGTGTTTTAATAGTATTCTGTTCAACTTGCTCTTTCAGTGAAAAATTGAAAAATGGATTTATACTGGGGCAAATTTACAATATGTTCGCCACTACAAATAATGTTCAAAACTGTTTGACTGCCATGAACACACAATGCCATTTAGAAAGTGGACAAATGTAACAAATATTATATTTGGGATAACACTGGTAGTCAACTGGTAGTCTAGATCACATACTTTGTGTACCCCTCTGACAAGTGTAAATTGGCAGGGCTCCCATGGCCAGTTGTCGGACTTTCATTTTTGTTTAAGCCTCGGTGGCTGAATGGGTTAGATCGCTGACTTTGTGTGCTGGCGATTAGGTGCCTCACTCTGGCAGTGTGGGTTCGAATCCTGGACGGGACTCAACCCGAAAAAGTACGAGTATCTGTACTTTGCAAAGAAAGTGTTATCCCAAATATAACATTTGTTACATTTGACCACTTTCTAAATGGCATTGTGTGTTCATAGCTTCAGGTCATGGGAGCAGTGCCAATTTACACTTGTCAGGGGGGTACACAAAGTACGTGATCTAGACTACCAGTTGTCGGACTTTTATTTTTGTGGAAGCCTCGGTGGCTGAGTGGGTTAGATCGCTGACTTTGTGTGCTGGCGATTTGTGCCTCACTCTGGCAGTGTTGGTTTGAATCCCGGAGAAACTACTTTGCAAAGAAAGTGTTATCCCAAATATAACATTTCGTATGTTTGACTGCCACTTCAAATTATTAAAAGGATATATTATATGCCTCAATAACCTCCTCAAAATCTAACGTAGCAATGTAGAATGGTTCCTCAAACCTTTTTGAGAATAATATGATGGGTAAAATTTTAAACTTTATAATTAGTGGGTTTAAAAAGTAGCGAACATATTGCAAAGTTGTACCCGTGCCAATATACACTTGTCAGAGTGGTACACGAAGCTTGTGAGTACCATTTGTCAAACTTCCATTTTTGTCCCAGATGGGAGTCAACTCCAAAAATTACTAGGGTTTGCACTTTACAGAGGAAGTTTTATCCCAAATATGACATTGGTTACTTTGTACTTATTTATGTTTTAAATACTCTTTGCCATCAAAGTTAGAAGAAATAGGGGTGACTATGGTATTTACATGAAAGGAAAACCAAGATGAAACTATTTCTATATAGCTTGTTCAACTGAACTTCTCGCATCTACATGAATGTCACCAGAAGACCACGTGCACCACATGTACTGGTCAGTAACATGATGTCCATTGCACCTGCAGGTTTATGAACACCCTTATAGCCCTTGAAAGATATTTCTTATTATGTCAAATGTTGAATCCAGTTAGTAAATACTGTTTCTGCTTCATGTAAAAAACCCACTTGATTTGTTAATTATGAACATTTGTTTTAATTATTCATCAATGTCTACTGTACTTTTGATATTTTCTTACACAACTGACTAGATAAATGTTTCATGGCAAAAGAGTTATACTTTGTAATATGTCTTGCCTGCTTTTGGAAGCATTAATAAGGCCATTATGTTACGCACAATAAATTTAAATTTAAATTGGTTGTCTACAAGTTGACCAATATCATTTTTTTAATCTGCAGAACATTTAAATGTTTCAAAGTAGTTTAAAATAACCAAATATCAATATTTTAAAAGAAGACAATTATTTTCTGGACTCACATACATGTCGTCTGCTACAGAATAGCTTGTGGTCACTAATCAGATGTGACACACCAGGGAAGCTGGCAAGAGCGCCCCTGCTGATAGCGGGAGTTTTGGGGGGACTGGAATGCAGTTAGCTGTTCCTCACTTTGAGGATTTCAGAGACATGTATGGTAAGATGATATTTCTTAAGCTATACCCTCCTGAATGTATTGATCTGGGTCAGTTCGGGGCCACAACAGAAACGTCATGACATGTGCTACCCACTTCACTAAGCAATGTTCTGGTCGAGGGTTCCCTGCACAAACTCAAAGGGTTCGCTGATCAACAGTGCGCCGTAGCCGAGTAGGACGACCTTGTGTTGCACATTTCCTAGAAATGTTTCCGTGTTTCTCGGAACGTAGTGTACGGTGATTTGTCCACTGGATAATTCTTATTTCCAGAACACGGACAGCAAGACCAGCAGCAAATTAAAGTCATCTGCTACAGTAATCCATAGGAACATGTCCTTGTTTGCGACGTTTGGGAACGAAAGGCCCGAGGATCGTTTAAAAGAGGTGAAAACCTTCTTTACAGAGGGGAATAAGAAATCAGACGCCGTCATACAGGTGGAAGACCACGAGCTTCACGTGGACCTGAATATAATCTCTCTGATGTCCCCGACACTGGCGAGTGAGTTCCAGCAACGCCCGGACCACCAGTCTCCTCCTAGGAAAACCAACAAAGCCGTGGCCAAGTTGGACGGACGTGTTGACCACATTGTGGACATGCTGACCTCCATCTACCCCAACTTCAGGAGCGTCAACGTTGTTGATGAAGACAATGTCGAGTATCTACTCCCACTGGCTGCGAAGTACAAGCTGTTGTTTCTGCTGGAAACGTGTAAAACATTGATAGAAAAAGAGTTACCTGGCATGAATATGAATACGTATATCTACTTGCCAACAAGGATGGAAATAACTTCTGAAAGATACCATAAGGAGAATAAGGATCGTCTCATGCGATACTTCGTGTTGGCGCATAAGAATGAATTATTCGAATTAAGGAAAAGATGTATGAATAAGTTAGTAAAATGCTATTATAGCACAAAGGCACATGAGCAGGATGGTGGCACACCAACACGACGCACTGCGGCCTTCCAGCAGCTCGACCCAACAACAAGATGGGAAATACTGAGAAACCGATTGTTTTACCTGGAAGGTGAGTTATTGTTTCATGCTAGATAGTGACTGGACAGGTGTAGTTGATCCCGTCAGCATTATTATCCCTCCTCTCCCCACCTCATGTTAAGATCCGTGGTAGAATAGATCTTTAGCAACCCATGCTTGCCCTCAAAGGCGACTTTGCTTGTCGTAAAAGGCGACTAACGGGATCGGGTGGTCAGGCTCGCTGACTTGGTTGATGCATGTCATCGATCCCAATTGCGTGGATCGATGCTCATGATATTAATCACTGGATTGTCTGGTCCAGACTCGATTATTTACAGACCGCCGTCATATTGCTGGAATATTGCTGAGTGCGGCGTTAAACAACAAACCAACCAACCAAACTCACCTCATGTCACGTCACGTGGGACGTGTGCAAGGTTTTTCCAGGTATTCACAATGGCGTAAATTTGGAGTGAGTGAGTGAGGTTTTACGCTGCTTTAAGCAATATTCCAGCAATATCACGGCGGAGGTCACCAGAAATGGGCTTCACACATTGTACCCATGTCGGGAGTCGAACTCGGGTCTTCGGCGTGACGAGGGAACGCTTTAACCACTAGGCTACCGGACCGCCCCGCGTATATTTGGAAACATACATGTCCCGTTCCACAAAGTGATCTTAACAATCGTCAAACTGTGGTAGTAAAAGTGCATGTAATGTCTGGATCACTGAGATCGCTTGGTGGGAAGGAACAATGTGTTTCGATTGGTGGGAAGGAACAATCTGTTTCGAATACTAGTGAACGTTGTTTTTGTTTTTTTGTTTTTCATCGTTGTTCAACTAAATGCACACACAAAAAATGTGTCCCCACGGACGCCATATTGCTGAATTTCCCCCTCCCTCGCCTTCCGACCAAATCCTTATACTAATGACCAGGCGTCTTTGAGTCATGTTGTCATCGACGTCGCTTTCTCTTTCCTCCAGGTACCTACGGTGAAGTGACAGACAACTTCGAAGACATGTGAAGACGTGAGACAACTGAGACGTGTCAAGATACTTCATAGATATCGCCATTGCGGCCATTCCTTATATCACTTGACAACCATGTCTCACAACGCCGGAAATATGTGTAGCTCACCTTTAAAGTCGAGTTAGCTTATGTTGCATGAATGATCCCAGCTATGGCGTCTAAAACTTGCTCACATAATTCCGACGGCGGCCATATTGAAATGTCATTTTGTCCATTACTCAGACCCTTGTGCATGTAGCATTAGGAGGTGTGATATGCGGGACAATAATACGTTTGTTTTTATACTTAGTTATGTTCAAAATGATCTGTGCTCCTTCTGTCTCAATGAAAAGAAAACAATTACTCACTTGTTTTGGGACTGTGCTGTAATAAAACACTTTTGGGATGAAGTGTCAGTTTGGATAGACCAGTGTGTTCATGTTTATAATATGACATTTTATGCAGAATTGATACTTTTTGGAGTTAAAAAGAACATAAAAACATATAAAGTTCGATTTACTTTTACTTGTTGCAAAATTCTATATTTTTAGATGAAAATTTCAAAATCTTATTTTAATGTTCATAAAAAGGAGGCCTTTTCACGATACAAGATTGAAAAAGATATTGCTTTCGAGACAGGTAATCAGCAGAATGCTTGGATGCTGTATCATTAATGAAGAGGAGCTTTTACTTTAATTTTAGTTTTACTTAAGACATTAATGTAAGATATCCGTAAAAAAGGTTGTGTAATGTGTCATGTGCTTTCTGCTACCCTGGGCGGAAGACCATTTTATGTAACAGGTGCTTCCTTTTATAAACAATAAAAGAAAAAAAAAATACTTTTGTTGCTTTTCGGGGTTCGTACTGATTTTGGATTAAGCTACGACCTTTGACCTTCAGGTAGCCCCGTTGTTCTAAGGTGACTGCATTTCAACATCTCTGAAACTACAAGGCACGTGGAGCTGAAACTTTGAATGAATGACAGCTATGGTGTCTGTAAACACTGCACACGTAATTCCAATCCGACCTTAAACATATCCGCCATTATTTCTACATAATTCAGGTGAGCTGCAGAGCTTTGTGGCTCTATTTCTTGGTGTTGCGTTCATGACATCCCGTATTACCCTGTGCTGTATATTCCCATTACTTTTCTATTCAAGCAGCCAGAGAAGTTTCAGTTCGTGTCCTCGCCGCCCAAGGTAGATAAAGTAGAAAGATGAGGGCGTTCTGTGTGTTATATACACATGTACAGCCGATGTGTCAACATATTTTAACTTCAAAGAATAAATATATTCGAATATATGTACGAGTCGAATTTAATGTTTTGCACATTATGCTAGCTGATTGCTTTTATGAAATCAGTATTCGCAATGCCTTCATTTTCCAATAAAAAAACACAAACTAACCTGTTTGTTGGATTATTCATTGTTCTGTATCATATAGAAGGTTGAATACAAGTTAAGGAAAGGCGTCTTAAGAGATCCTGATGTAACCACATGGTGGTCCTCGTGTCCAGGAGAAGGGGAACTACACAAAAAGACTCCTCCTAACCCGACATGCAACAGCAGCACCGTCGGACTTGCCCCCACTGGACACTGGTGGACTAGCCCCACCCCCGCCTTGACCAATAGCCCTCCTGGCAGTAGCTGCACGGGAGGGATCTTTCCGGGGAGCAGGGGGTGGTTCCAGAGACTGTCCACAGCACAGATCTCCTGATGTGAGACTACGCTCTCTGTCCTCACGTATGTACTTCCTGGTCCAAGGGTTTACACTGTGACATTTACCTTGCCTTTTCTTGGCCGGGGTATTGCCATGTGGATTTTCCGATTCCGCAGTTTTTCTCTTATGTTGACAAACACCTTCCATTTTGAGCTGGGGGTGTTTGGCTCTCGATGGTTCCACAGCAGACGGTGAACTGGAGTCTCTTGCTCTTGCTTCTATATATGGTTTGGTCATTTCTCGAGAATCATGATAACGAAACAAAATTGTTAAAATTGTTGCTGGGTTTCTTCGACATGGCGGCCTCTCATTGAACGCTTCCTTGGTGTTTGACAGCGTTACATCCTTCCGGCACCATGACGATAAAACTGATATATGACGTCCAGATGTGCTTAGTGTTAGGTTAATAGATGATTCAGCTGTGTCGGATTTTAGGTCAACGGCAGATCCAGTTGTGTCTGACGTGAGGTCAATGGCAGATCCAGTTGTGTCTGACGTGAGGTCAATGGCAGATCCAATTGTGTCTGACGTGAGGTCAATGGCAGATCTATATGTGCCACACCTTGATCCAGATGTGTCTGATTTTAGGTCAATGGCAGATCCAGTTGTGTCTGACGTAAGGTCAATGATAGATCCAGTTGTGACTGACGTGATGTCAATGGCAGATCTATATGTGCCACACCTTGATTCAGATGTGTCTGATTTTAGGTCAATGGCAGATCCAGTTGTGTCTGACGTAAGGTCAATGATAGATCCAGATGTGTCCGACGTAAGGTCAATGGCAGATCTATATGTGCCACACCTTGATCCAGTTGTGTCTGATTTTAGGTCAATGGCAGATCCAGATGTGTCTGATTTTAGGTCAAGGGCAGATCCAGATGTGTCTGATTTTAGGTCAATGGCAGATCCAGATATGTCTGACGTAAGGTCAATGATAGATCCAGGTGTGTCTGATTTTAGGTCAATGGCAGATCCAGATGTGTCTGATTTTAGGTCGAGGGCAGATCCAGATGTGTCTGATTTTAGGTCAATGGCAGATCCAGATGTGTCTGACGTAAGGTCAATGATAGATCCAGGTGTGTCTGATTTTAGGTCAATGGCAGATCCAGATGTGTCTGATTTTAGGTCAAAGGCAGATCCAGATGTGGCTGACGTAAGGTCAATGGCAGATCCAGATGTGTCTGATGTTAGGTCAATGGTAGATCTGGCTGTACGAGTATCTGTACATATTTCAGGATGAATGGAGAACAGATCTAGGTCGGTTTCACCGGATTCATCGTGCTCAGGTCCAACAGGAGAGCCTAATTCCAGTTCCTCTCTGGCAGCAGCACAACGTATTTTGTCTTGATTGTCTGTTTGAGATTCCAATAACATTTCCCCTGTTGTGAGGTAAGGCATTATCCCTTTCTTCGTGGAGAGTTTCAAATCCATGTTCCAATTCATTCCCGGGCGACCGAAGTCCGAAAATTTGCACTCTTTTATATTTTCACTCACAGCTTTAATCTGTTTTCGGTGACGCTCGTCGTCATTTGGAAAATCTGAAGTTTGACACGTCTTCACAGACACACCACATGATGGAGCCTGTAAACAAGAAGTACAAGTTGTTTGGAATACAAGTATAACGTCATCACGAATATGCGTCGCTTGAGTACATCTGTGGAATAATAGTAAACCTTCATCACGAACGAGCATTGCTAGGGTACACTATGGAATTATAGTAAACCTTTTTAAGGAACGAGCATTACTTGAATATTATCTGGAACACATGTAAAACTTCATCATGAACATGCATTGCTTGATTACTTCTCTGGAATACAAGTTCATGTATAACGTTATCACGAATATACATTGCTTGAGTATATCTATAAATCGGCATCAGTCCGGACTACTACACGTACACAAACGCACGCACGCACGCACGCGCGTGCATGCACTTCGCTATAGAAGTGCAATAATCTCGGACGCGACGTTAAACCCCATTTCACCTCACCTGATCACGAACATGCATTTCTTTAATACAACAATGGAATACAATATTGCATGCCGTTGTCATATAAACGCCATATTCACCTAACTGAAAGCTGCTTAAAGGTGACTGAGTGAGTTAGTAGTGGCTAATGCCGTTTTGCTTGTATCGGGTGGTCAGCCTACTTTGCTTATGTTTCAATCACTGGTTTGTCTGGTCCAAACTTCATTATGTACAGGCCGCGGACATAGACAGAATTTTGCTGACTGTTGCATGAAACATTCACTCACTCACTCTGATAATGCATCGCGGAGTACTCGGATTCCCCTCACAGGATAACAGCTGACAAAGGTCCTACCGCGATAAATAAAAGATCTCATTGTCCAATGTAATACACAAGTTTTGTTGATGAATTCCGTTACCTGCCTGGCCACCCCGCGGGCTGATGACGCAGGGCGGGAGGATGACGGGAGATGCTGCTGGCTGTTCTGTGTAGAGGGGGATATACGTGGAGGTGGTGATGCATCAACTGTAGAACAAGGTGTTGTTTGGTGATGATCATAGCCCTTCCTTGACGACTCAATGCCCCACCTTGCCAACTCAATTCCACTCCTTGACGACCCTATGCCCCACCTTGACGACTCTATGCCCCACCTTGACGACTCGATTCTCCATCTGGTTAATTCACTGCACGCTGCCGCAGAGTCGGAGCTGGTGCCTTGAGAAAACCGGAGGCTCATTAATGATTCCTGCAGCTTAAAGTCTGTTCCGTGAAGAGCAGATAATGGCTGATTATCCTTTTCCGTAAAGTCTCTGGGAACCCAGTTCATCTTGTTAATCTTCTCACTCTTTTACCTGAAAAAAGTTGATTATACTCTTGATGAGAAGGGTACGGGTGGCTCAGTCGTCTTAGTTCGCCCCTTAGACGTGTCGTGATCGTGGGTTTGAATCTCATAATCTCCCCGGTTATGTTTCTAGGTTTATCAGCACCATACACTTGCTCATGGGTTTCACCAAGGTGAGAAACTAAGACCTGCGTCACTTCCGGCTTTCCTCCCAGCTGATACCCCTTGATATAACTAACATGCTGTTGACAGGGGATTAACCAACCTCACTCACCTACTACAAGAAGGTCGTCAAGGTTACATGGTAAAGATAGGAAGATATGTCAGTCAGTCAGTGAGTAAGGTTTTACGCCGCTTTTAGCAATATTCCAGCAATACCACGGCGGGGGACACCAGAAATGGGCTTCCCACATTGTACCCATATCGGGAATGGAACCCGGGTCTTCTGCGTGACGAGCGAACGCTTTAACCACATGGCTACCCGACCACCCCAGGAGGATATGTGAATCGTTACACTTTAAAGGGGAAGGTCGGGTAACCTAACGGTTAAAGCGTTCGCTTGTCACGCCGAAGAGAAATTGCTGGAATATTGCTAGAAGCGGCTTAAAACCATACTCACTCACTACACTTTAGAAATGGCCTTCCTATTTGTTTATGATATAGGCATTAGTTAAGCGTGTAATAAATAGTAGACTTGGCTTTATTATGACGTTACTGATGTTTCCTTAGTTCCTGTAAATAGGAAACATCAACGCCAGAGAATAATAATAACTTATTTCTAAATCTATTTCTAATAGGCTGTTGTAAAGCAACTCGTCAACTCTCCACATACCTGATCCGTTCCAAGAGAAACCTGTGCTAAATTGGCCTTGATTGTGGAATCTGACACACAAACGATGAGTCATGAGTCGCAGAAACCCATCCATTCCAAAGACAATTGATAAGCGTCGTCGTGACAACGCATGACGCCATGGCCCCCTTCACGCTCCTCACAGCGATTCCCCGCTCGCGGAGCTCTCTATACAGTGACACCGGGGGGAGCTTGGGTAATTAAGGGGGGTAACTCTTGATGTCTTTAATTTTCCCAATTCGTGCTGTTCTGTTGTCTTGCAATACTATCTATCACTGTCACTTGTTATATTGATGTGACCGCGTTTACGTGGATAACATTTGCATTTGCGTTCAAATATTTTAAGAAGTAAGGGAGATGGTTTAAAGACATTTTCTGCGATATTTCATTTTTATTTTATTATCATGCAACTCCACGATATCGCTGAGAGTCAATAGTTTTCCGGAGATGGTTCCAGGAAAGCCAAAATTGACAAATGGCGTAGCAGGGTTACAGATAAGCAGCGTATTTGCGTAAACTATTCCCCACAAATATTCAAAACCCAATTATTTTCAATTAACTTGCGTACAGTGAGTGAGTGAGTTGGGTTTAACGCCGCTTTTAACAGTATTCCAGTTATATCACGGCGTGTCAGCTTAATGTGGGAGGAAAGCCCGAAGTGATGCAGGTGTCAGACGTTTACCACTTCGGTGAAACCCACGAGCACGGGTATGGTGCCGACAAACCTAGAAACATAATCGGGGCGAACCGGGATTCGAACCCACAATCATTGGTTTCTGGCGTGCCCAAGGGACGCAACTCTGCACAGCGAATCGCGGCGCCTTAGGCGACTGGGCCACCCGTGCCCCCCAACTTGCGTTCAGAAACGCATGCATTAAATGAAAAACGCAAATGTATAAAAACAGCACGCGTAAAATGAAGCTTTTTCAGTATGCGTACAAAGGAGCTAATTTCCGAAACACAATTACGAACTAATTTAATTTCCGAGTCAAGCCTATATATTTAGAACAGTTATCATGGTTATGTACATCTAAAACATTATTTCATTTTTTTTCATAAATCTTAAAATGTTCACTAATTTTGGGGAAAATCCAATAGAGTGATGAATAGAAGAAGATGAATATTGGTTACCCAATGAAAAATGTAATAACCCAATAAAATAGAAACACTAGAGTAAAAACTCAGTTGCTCTAAAAGTTATCTGGAGCTCTGCGCATGTGTCGACCCGTGAAGATTCCGGGGTAGAATAGGTCTTCAGCAACCCATGCTTGCCGTAAAAGGTGACTATGCTTGTCGTTAAAGGCGACTAACGGGATCGGGTGGTCAGGCTCGCTGACTTGGTTGATGCATGGATCGATGCTCATGATATTAATCACTGAATTGTCTGGTCCAGACTCGATTATTTACAGACCGCCGTCATATTGCTGGAATATTGCTGAGTGCAAACCAACCAACCAACTGCGCATGTGTCAGCACCGGTCAGATGAAACCGACGAGAATTGTTATTGTAGCGCCTGGTGCGAGTGATTCACATTTTTATGGTTAACAGAAATAAGATATACACTATAATACCCAACAACACTGTACAAGACGTATGGCTGACATTCGGCCAGATTGTATCGTGTAATGCGATAGTCACTTAAGTCCAGTTTCAATATGGATTCCACCCAATGCCCTCCGAGATCACCTGCTGGTCTGAGTCGAGCCGAGTGCAATGTTCGGGAGTATGGTTACATTTCTCGTGAAGACCTACATTAAGTACGTGGTCCCACTCGTCCGGGATAACATACGTGAGCATACTACTACAACAGATTGAAAAACAGGTGTACTATAAATAATTAACGGTTTACTCTGTACAAAATGGGTATCACAAATACCCCAACATGCCAAGGCTGAATGAATCCCCGTGAACAGCCACAACGATCACATCGGAATGCCCCCTGGAATATACGGATCGATAATGTCATGTGACTGAGCTATACCTGCACAGATTGTTAAGACGAGGGGGGCATGGGCGTGGCCCATATATGCCGGGGAAAAGAAACTATACAACCATCGTTGATGGTGGCTAAAAGTGAAATAAACAGGAAATGGTTATTCGCTGATGATGTCCTTGATACGGGTATAATAGGCAATATTACATGCATCATATCAATGAGCGTCTCACAACAGGCCAGCCTAGTAGCGTTTTTACAACGTTTGTTTACTGTTTTGGTCCTCACCACATTTCAATTAAGTGTATACCCTGTGAAGATCCGGGGTAGAATAGGTCTCCAGCCACCCATGCTTGCAGTAAAAGGTGACTATGCTTGTCGTAAGAGGCGACTATAACGAGATCGGGTGGTCAGGCTCGCTAACTTGGTTGATACATGTCATCGTATCCCAATTGTGTGGATCGATGCTCGTGATATCAATCACTCGACTGTCTGGTCCAGGCTCGATTATTTACAGACCGCCGTCATATTGCTGGAATATTGCTGAGTGCGCGTTAAACTACAAACAAACAAAAATTGAGTGTATACTTTCTTTTGTCCGTCAATGTATGTGAAGCTGATCCTGATGTTCCAGAGCTTAACCGTTACTAAGTTTATTCATGTAGTGTATTAGAAGAATATAGTGTATACTTTATCTTACTTCCATGTCAGAATATTGTGATCTGATTGGTTCACGTGATCTGATAAAATACTGGTCTCCCGCTTGGAAGGGAAATACATTTCTGAGCGGAGATTAAATCCCTTATACCCCGTCACGAAGAAAACACGTGCACGTGGATTTTTGATCGGGGATTATTAATCTGTGCACCCATTAGGAAGCAAGAAGCCGCACGTTGTTTACGAGTCAACGAAAGTCACGTGACCGAGCACAAGTTAACCTCAGCTCAATCGAACAGGAATCAATTTTTAATTTGTTTTAATTGTTTCAAACATGTCGGTAAGATAAATTCGTTGCAGCAGTATCACGGTTTTTTCATAAATCACGAAGCTCAAGCCGCTTAATGGAATCACTATAACATTTAGAAAACTGTTGATTTAAAACATCACTATCATAAACAATCTCGTTAACATTAGATCTTTGGTGTTGCGGTGTGGTTGGTGAAGCAAGCAATGTACATACCAAGCTAGATGTGTATAGATGATAAGTTTGTTTGTTTGTTGTTTAACGCCGCACTCAGCAATATTCCAACTATATGACGACGGTCTGAAAATAATTCAGTCTGGACCAGACAATGCTGTGATTGACATCATGAGCATAGATCCGCGCAATTGGGATACGATGACGTGCATCAATAAAGTCGTTAGTCGCCTCTTACGACAAGCATAGTCGCCTTTTACAGCAAGCATGGTTTGCTGAAGATTTATTCTACCCCGGATCTTCACGGGTAGGATACAATTAATAGTGAGTGAGTATGGTTTTACGCCGCTTTTAGCAATATTCCAGCAATATCACGGACGGGGACACCACAAATGGGCTTCACACATTGTACCCATGTCGGGAATCGAACCCGGGTCTTCGTCGTGACTTGCTAACGCTTTAACCACTAGGCTACCCGACCGCCCCTACAATTAATACATCAGTGAAGGTTGACTGTAAACAACCGATGTACATGCCAAGCTAGATGTGTTTGTATGATAAGTAGACTTGCAGTTTATATTAATCAATGTATTTACGTAATTGAAACCAGCCGGTTTTTAATATGAATAGAATCTAATAATTGAATTTGAACAATCAAGTCTGGACCAGACAATCCTGTGATTGACACCATGATCATCGATCCGCGATGACATGCATCAACCAAGTCAGCAAGCCTGACCACCCGATCCCTTTAGTCGCCTCTTTCGACAAGCAGTCGCCTGTTACGGTAAGCATGGGTTGCTGAAGACCTATTATCTACTCGGATCTTCGGTTTCACATTTCTTAATATACAGGTATTTACAATTTGTGTTAGAAAGGGGAGACAGGTATTCAGTATGCAATCAGTCTGGAACTGATCCCCTAATGAAACGTATTGTGTTTGTTATAAACTGCAGACAGATTTACCTGTAGGCAGAATGAGAGTGAACCTGGGTGACGGACTAATTTTGAATGAATGGGGCGATACACGCTGCCGGTGGCTGAGATGGGCAACTGGTGGAAGGCGCCAAATTCACTGTGACAGATTTCATTGCTTAGCACTGCCGGGATTCCCAGATTCTCCCTGCCTGATTATGTTCATCTTCCCGAGGCAAGAGAGTTAACTGACTATAAAAGTCCAGTTTCCACCCTTGCCGAACTAGGCTTGTATTATGGAGTTAGATTTTGGCTGGACTAACGAGTCTATGCAAAGTCCAATCAAAATCCGGTTCGTAAACTGTCATGCAGATTTCTGTCGATTGCAGGATTTGCAAAGCATGTGCACCGCCAACCTGTTGTCAATAGATATTTTCCTTATCATTTCATGTTTTTAATCAAGGTGCTCACGTAATTTGATGGACTTCGCGATGTAAGACCCGTTTTATCACAGTATAGATCTTGATTATCGACCAGATTTTCTTGTCTGGGCGCCGCAATTTTGTTTGAAGCAAATGCATGTGATACGAGAAGTGGAATCTGATTGGTCCATAGGAGAGGCATAGAAGGGACATAACTCTTAATAGCCACTGGTGGCGCTACGATCGAGCCCATGAATTCCAGCCTAGTTCGGCAAGGGTGGAAACTGGACTGTTAAAGTCAGTTAACTCTCTTGCCTCGGGAAGATGGATTATGTTTGATTCTTATGACGACAGTACCCGTGGAAATTTATCAACTGACGTCAATATTTTGGCCGATTTTGGAGGTATAAACTTAAAAACCAGTGTGCATACTGTAGAAATCCGCGTAGGTTATTTGCGCAAAGTGTGCACACCGGTATTTACGTTAATAAAACATATAGTGAAGACACTTCTGTTAAATATATAAGTCAACAATAATAACTTGCCAGGCTGCTTATTTGGCATCAACACACACAATGAAGTACAGTGCAATAATACAATATAAGCCCCGCCAAATCTGTTATCAGCTAATAAAAAAAAGTTGTTCGGTAGTGGACGTGGTCAAATTGTTTATGTAAACGCAAAAAGAATAACTTGGTTAGCCAATCACATGCAATTTATTTATTT